AGTAGGATATTATGAGTAGGGTTAATATAAGGTCCAGATTAGCAGAAAGATACTTTGTAGAGAACCAATAATTCTTACGGTGTAACATTGCATTATACAATATACATGGTCCACTATTTATTACTATTTCTTATACTAGTGTTACTGACTTACCAAGTACCCTGATTTGGAAATTATCCGTAAAGAAGGCTAGTTTGAAGATAGCTTTGTGCTGTTCTGACATCTCAGCTTCTGTCATCTTCCACGTGTTCTTTCCTTTAACTATATCAACTGAAAGCGCGGGGGTAGCGGATTACAATAGTGGAGTTTATTGAGTACTTGCATCGTCAGTTTGAGTTATTAGGACAACTTAGCAACTTTAAAACAAGGTTGGCAAATCAAACTAAAGATGCGGGAAACTAGGAAACTGTACAACTACAACTACAACTACAAACAGAAGATCCTCCCTCTTGCTATTAACCGTGCCGCTTATAGCACTTTAACTAGCACTTTAACTTGTACATTTACCTATTTTCTTCTCCCTTGTTACCAGGTCATCAGGAAGGTACATCTTCAGGGAATCAGAGGTAGTGGGCTCCATGGATACTTGAGACGGGGTAGTCAGACCTCTTCTTATCCTCTGAGATGGGTCTCCAGTAATAAGACCAACACTGCTGCTTCTGTGAATGATAGAAACTATTCCCTCCAGTGGGTGGGTCATGACAAATTCGCTGTGCTCCTCCCGGTGCTGTCATGTCTTTGAGAGGGGAGAGGAGTGGAGCTGTTAAGGAACGCGTGGGGTAAAGACTTTCAACTGATTAAACTTTCTAGCTGAAAGACTTTTAACTGTCTGTTTTTATTATGAAGTAGCATGTGGTTATTAATGGGGTTTTAAGGCACGTGTCCGTGGTCACGTGTCAGCAGTCACATTAATTTTATGAGGTGAGATAGAAAGTAATGTCTTTGACTTCAAATAATCAGACTTAAAGAGATCGATTTTGGGCCTGGTATTGTTGTAATACCGCGTGGCGCGTATAATACCTTTGCATGTTCGTATCAATTTAACGCAACCAAGATATGCAACCTCGCTCTACAGTCTCGCTCTACAGTGTACACCAAAAAAATCAAAATACATACATAATAAAACGTGATGATTACAATTTGCGACTTCCAACTAATAAAGATAAATCCATGATCCAGAATTCCTTGAGAATGAATTTAACAGACTCGACAGATCAGTGCATTTACAAATTATTTGAGAACGTGCTTTGCATGAAATTTGGATCATGAATAAAATAATACAATTATCGCTTAGTTTATGATTTTTACCAAACAATTTAAATTGAATTATGTCATATGTATATATTATATGGCGTATATAATATGTAAATAGAATGTGTGTAGAATGTCGGAGCGTGTAGAATTTATTAAATATGTTAGAATTTATTTATTCATAGCTTCTCTGTATTGAACCGTTTACATTAGGCGTGTGTGCTCTTTCGGTGACTTTGTTGATTACTAGCAGAGATACTGATAAGTGCGATGAGACATTTTATTTTATCCCTTCTTGATGTAGTCATTCTTTCGTGTAATATATTTAATACTATATTTTATAATATGCTTTAATATCATTCTTCAAGGTTACCAAAATACAGTGCGATTTAACTTTTCCTTAGATATTGACCTATTTTATTTTTTGTGTCTCTAGATAGAATGGCTAACAAAAGCTGTTACGTAGATGAACGTCAGAGAGATGGTCCCACCATCTCTCACCTATTCCAAAACAAAATGGAGTTTCGAGAACTTGCTAGATGCTTGAGAGAGTTGTCCAGTCCAAGACAACAACTCTATGTGTGGCTTGACGGTATTCTAAGTTCCGAGAGTGTCAAGAATCTTTACATGGTTTTTGAGCTGTTTAAAGAATTCTATCCTAACCTACCGTTTATGAGAAATCAGGGTGAAGGCTCATTTAATAATCTTTTTAATGAAGAAGCCTTGGATAAACTTGTGCGGTTTAAAACTCGCCAAGGATGCTTCAGTGACCAGTGTACACCCTTACTTCCTATGCGAGCTAGTGCATATAAAGAACTACGGTCAAAATGTTTTATACAAGTTGCTACGTTGTGAAGACCTTGTCTCCAGCAGTCACTCTCGAAGAATTGAGTGCCTTCGTCTTGTACCATCCGAAGAGTTCATATTCAAAGCTTCTGACCACTGGTTTTTCTTACCAACGGAGACATGAGCCATTTTATTATAAAGGTGGTTCCTGGTCTAATGAGTGAATTTGACATGCAGCTGGTCGGGGATGAAGGTGGCTCCGTTACAGCAGACAATGTCCACATCATTTTCCAAGAGTTTCATATTGGAGATAAACAAGAGTCCCAAAACCCATTTTTTATGCTCTTCCTTTCTTGGCTCGGAAAACCCGGCTACAACAGGGAGCCTGATGATCCTCGACGGTATGCATGGGGAGATCTGTTCCTCTCAAAAGGAGGTTACATCCGACTCATCGTTTTTGTTGCAGCGTGAACTCATACAAGAATAATATTAGCTTGTGATGATTAAATGCTTAAAAGGACTCTTCCACGATTTTTGTATGACATTAAATCTGACCACGCCATGATTGAGTTGACCTCTTTAGCAGGTCTTTAACCTAACAATTTACTGTACAAGTTAACAAACAAGAGTTTATCGCTGCATGATTAATAACTTTTTGTGGAATCAATAAATTAATTAGAGCATATTATTGTGTAAATTGATTGGTCAATTGTGCAATCAAAATTATCTAAAAAAATGTAAATCGTTGTTTGTTTCATTTGTACAGACCGGGTAGTGCAGTTTTGACTTTTTTATACTCAACTTCTTACCTAACACCTTCTCAACTAACACCTTCCCAACTAACACCCCCTCAGCTAACACCTTCTCACATAACACCTTCTCACTTAACCCCATATCCAAAAACCCGCATTCTCGCATTCTAAGAATGTAGGAAATTTTTAAAAGTAGGAAATTTTTGACAAAAAGTAGGAAATTCGAGAGCCAACTCTGAGAATTTTCGATAATATTTCAGTAGGAATTTAAGTGAAAGAGCAGACTAAAAGTTGCTGGACCGTTATTTAAATGTCCTCAGTCAGGGATCCACTGATCCAGTCTATCAAATTTCGTTTCACAGACCAAAGTTTGTTGCTATTAGGCATTAGCTACAAAATCTGTGCATCAAGTAACCACTAACCAGATGCTAATTATTGGGGCATTTTCGCGTACACGACATAAATAGTTGTCATTATTACTTTATTAACATTTTACTATCTACTTATCTAGTCTATGAAACCGGATATGTCTACAGTGTCACCCGATATCTGTATTGGCAAGCAGTAGCATATACACATCACGTCTTCAATGTGTGTATCACACTGCACACATGCACACCCAGCCCAAATTCGTGTGGCGTGAGAAAATATCAGAAAAACAGGGCGTTTTAACTAATCTGTACGATGATGCTAGAATGGGCGTGAGAATTGGACTTTTTCTAGTTTTTTAATTAGTCGCTCTGCCCGCTTGCTTTTGTTGCTTACATTGGGTAGTCGAACTTCCTATTAATTATGAATCGTCCAAAGTTCAAGTCTAAATCCGAGGTCCAATGCGGTATATGCAAAGAAGTTTGTACTCGAGCCAATAATCTAAAAGTTCATTTTAAGAGGTGTCACCCAGGGCATCAGCCCTATGAATTCATACCGAATCAACCTAAGTTGGGTAGCTATCACATTAAGACATTAATCGGGTGGAAATCATTTTTGCATGAATTATCTTTATATGCTCCTGATCCTAGTTAGGTATCACTTTGCTAAATATACATATCTTGGATTGATCTTGACTCAGAATTTATAAAACTGATCAAGAGCTTTAAGTATGAGCAAAATTTACAATCCCGTATTTATCGTTAAAACATCGCATGTAACAGTTTTCAGAAAGCACGTGATACAACTAAAGTAACGTCAAACATTGACAATACAGATAGGGATGACAGAAGTGTGCAAAAAGAGCTCCAAATTAGGCTGATGGCCCCATCACCATGCTGAGGGTGAAAAGCTTGTTCAACAGGTTGCTACGAGAATGGCAAGAAACCACTCTTTTCTAAAAACCACCCATGGGGGGATGGGGGCGGCTATAGAAAACTTCTGCAAATCTCAATATAGACTACCATTCCAGTTTTGATAATAGCATTATCAATCATGTAATGTTGTGAACGGTCATCAATGCAATTGTAATAACTTTATGTCAGGAGTCTGGAGTTCAAAGAACATTATATAGTATTATGAGTTGATGTAATACGTCTAAACATGCATAATGCATAAGCATTCTTTGTTGCGTTTCCTATCTTATTTAAATAGTAAATACTAATAGTCATTATTATATTTTTGGAAAATTTAAATTCCTTGTTTCTTGAATATTTGGTCTCATACTTGCTTCGTTCTCCAAATTTCCTTAACCCTGTATTAGTTTATAGCTTGAAAGCAGAAAGTAATGGTAGTAGATGAGAAAACATTTTTGCCAAAATTATAAACTCTTGATACTTCATGCTGTCTCCTATTTCGTGCTTTAGTTAAGCCAAGTGTTTAGGGATTCTAGAATCCAGACAATTTATCCCAATAAAAATTGAAATCAGAAAATAGTATGCTAAAATCGTTCTCCATTGTCAGATTCGTTCCAGGAGGCCAAATCTAGTTTAAATTTCCAAAATTTTCGGGGGCTTCGCCCCCAAAAGTAACCTAGGATTATCTATTAAAAAGCATTCCGGGCCCTAAAAAAGTAAAATTGAGAATCTGGAATCCGCCATGAAAAATCTTTGAACCGCGCGAATACAAAGACTTTTTATGCGAGCGAAGCGAGCGGGCCACAGAAAACGAAAAAATTGAGAATGTAGGAAATTAAAATTTTTTTGGATATGGGCACTTAACACCTTCTCACCTAACACCTTTTTAACTAACACCTTTTTAACTAACACTGTTTGCAGATCAACACACGGATACATCAGAAGTGATAAGAGAAGGAGAAATACCAGCGCTGAGAGATCTCAATATCCTGGACGTTAACGACATGCTTTACAACTGGTATTTAACTTAGTTAAATTTATTTAACTTTAATTAATTACATTAATCGCATCAATCACATTTAAAGGCTTCACAGAAATGGTTTGGAAAACAGCATATAATATGACTTTGTCTAATTATTGGTTTTATCGGTGCTCATGTATCTTATAGATCGTTAAGAACGCCCAGTTATTTTAGTCTGAGACGAAACGGAATCTCGTTAGCTTTTCGTGTTAAAAAGACCCTCATAGACCCAATATCCGTAGAAATGACAGATGATGTTGACGGGGATACACCGTCGACCTTTGGATGTCAGCAGTTCAAACATGATATTTGTCGTATGATGTGTGGCTACATAATGTATGGCCAGCATCAAAACGTCTGTGTCAGGAGAAATCAGCAAAATGTCAAGATTCGGGATGAGCTGACCAAGCTTGTCGATCAGACATATCATCAGAGTATCTGCTTCTGGGTGTTTATGAACAGATCGGTATCAGTTTGGTACATTCGATAGCAATGTTGTCCCATAGGCTATGACGTATGTCTTACACATGGTATCCATCAAGGATTGACAGCTTTCTGAGAATAATTTTGTGAGAGTCTGTTTATTCTTTGGGTGGGAAAGTAACTCTTTTAGAGTGATGTCTTTCACAACGGTAGAAGGACTTAATCTAAACTGTACTTGAGTCTTGTGTCTAATGTCCCAAGTACCTTGCTTCAGGATTGAAAGAGAAGCTTCATAACTGTCAAAAACGAGAATAACATGACTGTAAGCGCTGATCTCGTTTTTGATCCGTTGTTGGAACTGCTGTATAAGGTCTTCCAATTTGAGCATGTCTTTCATCCTTAACTGATTTACAAAACCCATGCCATCCAGGACAACGCAGTTTCTGACTGAAGTCGGGTAAATGACAACATGATCAGATACAGTTTCTTCTAACCCTCTTAAAAATGCAGCCTTATCGTCACATTTGAACATCTTCCCCTCGTTGTCGAAGAGTGAGTGAGGAACCACAGAGAATTCATGTTTAGAGAAGAGCTCTGAGATGTCGATTCCGCTTCTGCGTCTTGATATGACCAGCAGTCGGGTCATCAAGCCCTTCTCTTCCCTCAAACTTATTCTGCCAGTTCTAATTCGTATTTTTGTTTCAATTGGCTCCCATTTACAAAAACAGCACACTACTTTGGAGTCGAAACAATATTATTTTACAGTAAGTGGTTAAGTGTGCACATGCACATGCATCGACAATCTTATCAGCTATGTATTAAAAGATAAGCACGAACAATTCAGTCACGAAATATTTTGAAGTATATATTATGTGACGTTATACTATGTGGAGTAAGACAATCTGCAGGTTATAATACATTGGTTTTTATACTAATTTGACTGTATCTTCGAAAACATGCATTTTAGGGTTAATATTACTTCATAAGTCTAATATAAATGTGACCATTGCGAACATTTTGGACGGTCTCCTAAACTTCTTAGACCCTCATAGACCCAATTACCAAAAATCATCGAAATTATGAGGAGCGTCAACTAAAAAACCATTTTTCTGCGATATTTCCGAAACGAAGCATTTTAAGGTATATGTTGCTTCATAAGTTGTATATAAATGTGGCTATTAGGTACAGTTTGGTGTATCGGAATAGTCTTTACGACTTTCAGGAGCTGAAATACAAAAATTCGAGTGGCCGCGAAACCCTGAAAAAGGGTGTGGCCGAAAACGCCCTCATTGCATGTATTTCAAACTTGCCATGAAGTCCAAATGTTTTAAGAATCATCTAGAGAGGTGATAACCGTCGAGAAATCGCTTTTAACACGAAAAGCTAACGAGATAACCTTTTAGAACGGTTGGGATCCGACTATTTGGCTTAAGCCCCATAGACAATGTTTTGACGGGAAATTAAAAAGTAATCATCATTTATAAGACATCGGTATAAATATGTTCAAGATTATAATATTATTCGGTCCTGTAAGCAATAATTTTGAGTGTCGATTTGTAACCTTCAGAGGAATTTACTACTTAAAGTTATTTGCTTGTAGTTCTATTTATAATATACAGGGTGGCCCATAAGTGACTACCCACACGCAACCTCTTAATAACTCACGTAATTCGTCTCCAAATTGCACCAAAATTTCAGAGATTATAGATATGGGTCAAACTTAGATTTCCTGAAAGTTTCGTAAGCCACGCCCAATTACAGTGGGCGTGGCGTGACACTCCCTCTTTTTCACTATTGTCTTCATAAAATGAGAACGCTTTAAGCTAAGAACTCAAAATTTTTTGCACACATTTGGCTTGATAATTGAAAACCTTTCCCAAAGTTTCAAGTTCATTGGTTATAATATGGCTAAGTTATGACCATTTCAAAACTCATCGGATACGTGATCCGAGCACTCAGTCAGTGATCTCGTCACTTGGTTAATGGCCTGTTCGGCTCACATGCACCGCTTGATTGGTTGCAGCCTGCTTATGGGCCGGCCTATACAGCTGACTGCACCTAAAACGCTATCACACGAATTTATGGTGGTGTCACCATTTCAGGGCTTGTTAGCCCTGCTAGTCACAGGTTCCTTTTGAGTTCTTAGCTTAACTGTCCAAGCAGAATGTGGATCCCTACTTTGAGGACGAAATCTGGTACAGCGACAAGGCCATATAAACGGATATGTCAACTCCCAGAATGCAATTCACTGGGGCTCTACTAGACCGGATGAAGTGGTGGAGAGAACGGCTTTTCCTGAAAAGGTCACGATCTGGTTTTTATCCTAAAAATTTGTGTTTCCCTTTCTAGCAAAGTCATCATCGGTATCCAATCAAAGCCTAATGAACCTCATTAATACACGCTAACGCCTTACTCTTGATCAGATTGGGTGACGAGATCACTAATTGAGTGCAAATATCACTGACTGAGTGCTCGGATCACATATCCGATGGATTTTAAAATGGTCATAACTCAGCCATATTTAAACCAATGAACTTGAAACTTTTGGAAAAGTTTTCAATTATCAAGCCAAATGTGTGCAAAAAATTTTGAGTTCTTAGCTTAAAGCGTTCTCATTTTATGAAGACAATAGTGAAAAAGAGGGAGTGTCACGCCACGCCCACTGTAATTGGGCGTGGCTTACGAAACTTTCAGGAAATCTAAGTTTGACCCATATCTATAATCTCTGAAATTTTGGTGCAATTTGGAGACGAATTACGTGAGTTATTAAGAGGTTGCGTGTGGGTAGTCACTTATGGGCCACCCTGTACTTATTGTTATATTAGATGAAATCTCACTAGTTGAATACTGGACAGTTGCACGAATGTGGTATCGTTTTTGATTAAGTCCCCAAGATTCTTCATGCTGCAGTACGTAACATGATGGGAATACTAATATTACTAATATTAGTAATATTACTAATATTACTAATATTACTAATATTACTAATATTACTAATATTACTAATATTACTAATATTACTAATATATTACTAATATTACTAATATTACTAATATTACTAATATTACTAATATTACTAATATTACTAATATTACTAATATTACTAATATTACTAATATTACTAATATTACTAATATTACTAATATTACTAAGCTACTGTCTTGATATTGACTGATTAACTAACTTATACTTCATATTATTACCATCCTACAGTCAGTAATGTGTGTATAATAGTTAACCCACTGTTATTGTTATAAAACAGTTAATGGTTACAATTAGCTGTTGTTTATTTGTGTTAGTTTAGCACTTTAGCAGTAAAGAAAGTGCCGTCACCATGAAGTGACCATTTGTATTGTAGTGTATTTGTGCACATATTGCACATTGTATTGTATTCTCAAACTGCACGTGCACTTATTTAATACTGGACTGAAATAGTAAAATTATAGGTTGTACTACAATCATGCTTGTGTACTTAGTATCTGTAGCAGACAGCAGTGTTGTATTTGATCTGTATCCTATATCTAAAACCGTGCAATATCTTCTATTTGATCTGTATATTATATTTAAAGCCGTGCATTACAGGAATTTGCCACTAATTCCCCCAACACATTACTAAAGATTGCTCCTTACTCCCGAGTCCCTATTATATTATGTTCTGTACTGTGAGGGTTATTAAGTGTTGCACCCCTAATACTATAATACTGCCTTACCACATTACTCGCCTTAATGTCTTTTAATAAACATGTGTTCGCCTCTTGTATAGCCTTCCTTCATGTTAGTTGGTTGTGCTTTACCTGTTTTTGGTAATTTGGTTAGGAAATATGGTATGAAGTACGTGTACGAGGCGAGATCAGATCTGAACTTACAGTGACTGCCTTCGTCGTTCGAATTACACATTGATACTTGATAGTTGCCTTGAACCTTCACATTATTTTGATTGACCGCGGAAATGATCAATTCTGTTCCAGTAAATCATGATAATTTTTATCATTAACAATATATTTTCATTTCTATCTTCTCGAATGAATAGATTCATTCAATTCTGGTATTTGATATTCAGAATTAGATGAGATCGTAATATTTAATAATGTCATATCTTAGTTCTTAATTATCTTACAGTTAGTGCCGAATTACTTACCTAATACCTAATTTATCATATTATTATGGTGATAAAAGATATGTTGGATCGGTTGTTTGGTTGACAGAATTACTCGTTTCTTTCTATTTGAATAGCTTAATCACTAGTACTCTTTTGTACTCATTTGTACTCTTTTGTACTCTTCCAGTATCCCTAATTCCCATTTCCTATCAGAGTGAGATGTTTGAAGTGTTCTCAATATCTGGACATTATGTTCTGCACGATGGTGTCAAATCACTCTGGTGCTCCAAATTGGACGGAAGTTAGTAATTATAATTTTATAGCTGTTATTTGGGATTATTACCGCATAACGCTAGACATAGGATGAGGGTATAATATTTTTTTCTTTGATAAACTACATATAAAATAAAATGTGGGGGGTCTTATCTTCTTATTGTCGATAAAATCACAGCTATACGAATTATATTATTATTATTAGGGGGATCGTCGTCAAAAAACAATAAAAATATCGCCATTTTTGCTTTTGAAATTCTTGTAGAGGTTGGTGTTATACCGGGATCTTGAGGACTAGTTCAAGTACTTTTTTAGGCGTCTAATACAAAGTGATACTCGTTATATTAGTTTGACTTCTTGAAAGGTAAAGTCAACAAAGGCTTTTTAGAATATTGGAACTTAACACAAGTTCATTCGTATCTCTCAAAACGGGTCAGACAGACTTATTTTACAATCGTAGCCACGGACGGCTATGGAGTATGGAGGTGAAAGTAGTGTCATGTGAGTCGTGTTTCTCAATTGTGATTGGCTGATGTTAAGATAGTGTTAGGACGGTGAAAGGTGAAGGTAGTTACTTAGTCTTAAGGTTTCTGAGAATGAATTCGTAGGGGAGGTATTACTAATAGGTGTGAACTTGAAGTGTTGAAACTTGTAGGCAATGCTTTGTGAAATTAGTATGAGTTTATTTGAAGCCGTCCGGGAATAAAACATGAAATATTAGAATTAAAATTAAGAAATGAAATTATATGCTCTACAATCTTCCGTTCAGAAATTTAGTAAAATTTAAGACCCTCCAATAATTTAGTAAAATGTATTAGGATTATAAAATAACAGGTATTACAGTTGATGTTTTTGCAAAACATCAATTAATAAACATTTAAAAAATTGTAAACGAGTAAAACATACGAAAATGTTAATGTTTTACACTGTTAACTTAACCTTCGATATCGATTCGTTTCATTTCGTAAGTTAACTTCTACACGTATACTTCTATTCGTCTTTCGTTTTAAATTCGTTCTTGTTACACAAAAATAAATTCGTTACATTAAATAATCATGTGATTCGACTCACTGATCATCCAGGGTGCATTAGGCGCCCTTTCAGATTAAAAAGTTTAAATAGAAAAATTAATTTAGTCCAAATCGGTATCCGTTTCAGAATCCGAGTCTAACACATTCATCTTGTAGGTGAAGGGTGCTGGCCGCTGGGTGATTGTTAGTTAATACTCATTGCGTTTTAGGAAGTAGGCTGATGATTAGTAGTTGCAATGAGTATTTTGAGAGTTGGAATTCTCGAAGGAAGATTAGGAATATTCAAGGTCCGCACAAGTGCTTGATATGATTATGGCTTTTTTAGGAATGTTCACAAAAGAGCAGTTTCAAAGCAACATTCTCGAAATTAGCGCCTGATTACGAAAAAGGATTGTTGTCCGATTAGTTAGTTTTTACTAAATGAGGTGTCTAGACATTCATTATTAGGTATAGTGAAGACATTTTACGGTTTACAGGTGATAGGAGACTATAATAGAGGTACTGTGGGTACGGGAAATCGGTGGTAAAGTTACAGAGCCATGTGCGTCTGGCGCGGGTTTACTGACCACTCAGGGCGCCAGCTCCTTGTGACAGCAAACCTCTACACATGGTGACTCCGCATTACTCGAGATCAGACTTATTTAGCCAGGTCACTGATTTCCCGATGGCCGATACCGAAATTTATCACAGTCATTTGGTGTATGAATAAGTCCATTGAGATAAGACTTTCTTGATGCACCACGGATCCCTGTAGTACTTGCTGAATTTACGGTAATGTTTGATGGAAGGAGATAAAGGTTTCAGGACCAATACCTTGTCACCTTTTTTGTCTGTTCTGCGGAACCTTCTCGTTTTATCGTGAAAAGTCTTGTGGCGTATTTGATTTACACTAATGTTGTTGCTTACGACATTGTACAAGTCTTTCATATCGTGGTACGTGGCTGGAGCAATATGAGCACCGGATTTATAATATACTGTGCTATCGGTTTTTAGGGATGCATGAGGATCAATAGGGGTATCAGAGTTCCTGATTGGAGTGGAGTCCTGTTTAGTAGATTCCTCTGATTCGGTATCCATTTTATCTTCGTTGTTAGTCTTCACTTTGTTCGCAACGCATATAAAGTAAGTTTGTGCAGGGAGACTTTCGAAGGCAGTCTGGTTCACCAAAGGTGACTTTGATAGGCTTTTCTCTCTTAAAGCCGGGTTATTTTCTACAGCATGTTGAGGGAGAGGTTCTTTCTTGAAGTTATTCTGTTTCTTTGTGTGCGTGTCTGCAGTATCCTGCTCTTTTTGAGATTTAAGGTCAAACATTAATATTAAATCTTTGACGCTGTATTGCGGCTTAGTTTCAAGGCTCGAGTCTCTTTGGACTCCTGGAGGAGGTGATTTTCCGACAGGAATAGGTGATTCTTTGACAGGAGAGAATAATTCTTTGACAACAGAAGGTGGTTCTTTGACAGGAGAGTGTGGTTCTTTGACAGGAGAAGGTGGTTCTTTGACAGGAGAGAATAATTCTTTGACAACAGAAGGTGGTTCTTTGACAGGAGAGGGTGGTTCTTTGACAGGAGAAGGTGGTTCTTTGACAGGAGAGGGTGGTTCTTTGATAGGAGAGGGTGGTTCTTTGACAGGAGAAGGGTGGTTCTTTGACAGGAGAAGGTGCTTCTTTGACAGGAGAGGGTGGTTCTTTGATAGGAGAGGGTGGTTCTTGGGAGTTGGGTGGTCTTTCGCAAAGATTAGCAATGAAGGAATAGTTGCTCACCGTCTTATTATTAAAGTCTAGGATCATCCCGTACTTTTCGAAGAAGATTTGTCCTAGAATACACTCTTCTTTCATTTTAGATGTAACCACAAGATCTATTTCGAAAACAGTTCCCTTAATAATGACATGAGCACCTCGAATGACTCCTAGAACTTGTAATGGCATACCCGTTATCCCTACTAGTTTGAAAGTGGCGTTTTTAACCAGGTATAAGAGATTATGTTTTTTGACGAAGTCTTCACTTACTAGGTTCATAGAGGCTCCAGTATCTAGGAGAAAGGTTGTACGGATGTCAAATATGGAAGCATCTAGATATACATATCCATTGCACGAATTCACAGATGTGTCATGTTTCAGCGTATGTGGCGGTAGATCCTCCCTCCCTCTAGGGGAGGGGTAAATTAGTTTTTTGGGACTGTTGATGTAGTTTTGGAGTAGAATCTGCCGTTGCTAGCAGCATCTTGAGTATTACAGTTCCATTCTTGCACTGGACTTTGGTTGTAGGATACCGGTCCATAATCAGAATATGCATTTATTCCATTGTACGGGAGGTGTGGATTAGTACAGTGGTTGGTGGGTGAGTCTGGTGGGAGCTGTCCAGGTAACTGAGCTTCATCGAAATGTACTCGAGCATCCTGGTTTGAGGCGTAATTTCTAACGTTCGTTTCAGATAGTTCTGGTCTGGTGTGGTTGCCTTGTCCCTGATACCCTCTAAATTCTGTTTCACTGTGGTATCCTCTCTGTGATTGAAACCTACTTAGGTCACTAACCCGGTTTCTGCAATTTCGAATCATGTGCCCAGCCATTCCGCAATAGTGACACGAGAAGTTTCGATGGTTCCAGTTGGGTGAACTGGAGCGAGGATCTTTCAGTGGGCAGTCTATGATATAATGTCCCGGTCTCTGACATCCATAACAGATAACTGGGGGTCTTCCTGAATGTCTGTTATCTCTTAGATTGTCGTTGTAAGAGCTCTGAGGCTGGTTACTTCGTATGAGATTCGGGCCGTAGTAGGAACCGGGTTGATGTGCAGTAGGGTGTTGATAGGGGTGGTCAGAGTGTTCATCGTTTGCGTATAATTCAGGTCTTCGAATGGGGTGCTGGGGAAGGAATGAGTTGTTACTAGCGGTATTTGCTGCAGTGGTTCTCTCGTTCTTTAGTACCGACACTGTAATATCATCGCCTTCTTTAAGAGTGGATCTGGCTCGATAAGCGCAGTCCAATTTCACTGCTACCTCGAGATTTCTGGCAAACGTGTCGTCTGCGTTCCCTATTAGGACAATAGAGATTTCATCTCGGAGAACTCCACCCGAGAGTGCGTCAATCAGAGCTGATTCCATGGCTGCTTGGTTGTCAGAACGGTAACCGAGTCTTCCCAGGTCTCGTAGCCTCTCACCAAACTGGGCCACGGTCTCGTCAGCTCGTTGGATTGCTTTCTTCAATTCGAACCTTGCATGTACTGCTTCGCGAGGAGAACTTAGAGCCCTGATTACTTCGTCTTTGAAGGTGTTCCAATCATCCTCGGTAGCGGAGTCCATAGCTTGAACTATAGCTAGAGACTTAGGGTCCAGATAAGTCTGAAATGATTGTACGGCGTTTGCGTCCTTTAGTCCAACGACTCGCCTAAAGGGTTCGAAACATTCGAGGTACGCAGTGATGGAGGTTTTAGCAGGGTCAAATATCTCTGGTCTTCGAGTTCCAGCGACGCCTGCTCTGAAATCCACCCTAGCTTGTTCTACCGCTGCGGCTCCTGCATTTCTTGTTGCAGTCTCAATGAGGTTTCTTACTTGGGCTTTCTGATCTTCGGTGATACCGAGAGCTTCCACAGTTGCCATGTTCGGTTAGAGATTTAGGTTACCGGAAATTAGAAACACGATTCGAAGGATGTGACTTTGTTGCAGGGGCGGAAGATTAGAAGTTCTGTCCGTCTTGGATACAAAATGCGGTAGGTTCAGTGGATGGTTAGTAGTAACTCGGATGTTGCTTAGTGATGAATGACAATCACAATTAGTTAGAATTTAGTTAATGTAAATTCTAAAAATCTAAAGATTCGCACTGGTCACGTACTAAGAGAATTAGTAACTGTATTTAAAACGTTACAAGCTTAGCGAGATTAACTAAAACAAATCGAGGATCGATTAGAAAATGACCTCACTGCACTGCCGTTAAGCTGAGTTCGATTAGTTGTTCCAAGCAAAAACAAGCAAAAACAAATAGTGCCCGGGTTCTCCACCAATGTAGAGGTTGGTGTTATACCGGGATCTTGAGGACTAGTTCAAGTACTTTTTTAGGCGTCTAATACAAAGTGATACTCGTTATATTAGTTTGACTTCTTGAAAGGTAAAGTCAACAAAGGCTTTTTAGAATATTGGAACTTAACACAAGTTCATTCGTATCTCTCAAAACGGGTCAGACAGACTTATTTTACAATCGTAGCCACGGACGGCTATGGAGTATGGAGGTGAAAGTAGTGTCATGTGAGTCGTGTTTCTCAATTGTGATTGGCTGATGTTAAGATAGTGTTAGGACGGTGAAAGGTGAAGGTAGTTACTTAGTCTTAAGGTTTCTGAGAATGAATTCGTAGGGGAGGTATTACTAATAGGTGTGAACTTGAAGTGTTGAAACTTGTAGGCAATGCTTTGTGAAATTAGTATGAGTTTATTTGAAGCCGTCCGGGAATAAAACATGAAATATTAGAATTAAAATTAAGAAATGAAATTATATGCTCTACATTCTTATGGTGCCCGACAAATATATAAAAAATCTGATGACTGTTACATATATATTAATTAAGTGACTTACGATTAACAGCGAGTCAAAAGTATTACAGGGGCCCCCCCTCCTCCCCCCCCCCCCACCTCCCCCTAGCGATTTTAAACACAGTCTCCTCAGGAGTAGTCCCCTCCAACTCTACAATCCTAGACGAGTCTCTAGACCCTGTCTGTCTAGGCACCTGTCATGGTATTGTTGGTAAGATCAAGTTCCTGCCGGAGAGCCCTGATAACTTGGTTCTGATTGCCAATAAGGAGGTTGTCTGTAAACTTCACGGTGCCACGGTAAAAATCATTAATCATACTTTCTGTTTATTTCAATTTTCAATGCAGCGATTCTTATTTATTATATTGTCATTTGAGGTGGTCAAATATTGATTTACTGCGACTCCTCCTCCAGACAAACTGTAACATTTAATTTCTCTTCCACTTCCCTTACAAACGATATTATAATTTTCCAAAAGCAATAACTCAATAATAACACAGATTTACCGACACATTCCTTCTCCAGGTTCAGCGTATAAATGATATAGTGATGTTACCCCTGTCCCTGGAGACACCCTACCTTGATCTGCCGGCTTGCAGTAAACACACTAAACCTCCTAAAGGTAACTTCAGATTAAAGTTATTTTGTAGTGTCTAATTACGGTATTTGATCTGGATTCTGGAAGCATAGTACGAAATTAATTATATGATAGACTTCCTGCACTCCCGTTACCCATACATTATAATAATGTATCTATCATTTCCTCTGCAGGTGAGAATGTGACAGAGACAGACGCTAAAATAGAGAGGAAGCTGGAGGAGGAGTTTGTAAAGTGGTTTGAAAAGTAAGTAACGCCCTCCCCCCGTAATTGCCTCCCCCTCTTTCCAGTAAGTGAAAGTTGACACCCTGTCCCGGTAGCTTGGTTATCATTCGCACTTTCAAGATTCCGTGTTACTTAATCTAGTTGTGGGTTATTTCATTTTTATCTCTCCCTCTAAAATATGAGTCCCTCTAACATCACCCACGTGCAGATCTTTCTACTACTCTGAAGAAGGAGACATATCCCACACGTTAACTGAACTCTGTAAAGAACCACTTGATAAGACTAAACCGATCTGGCAGCAAGCCAAGACGGAGTATTTCTGGAATGAGAATATGTTGGAATGTCTTATCTCTGTGTACAACCAGTTCCCCGAACTGTGCAACCCCTGGATTATCCCCGTTATGCAGGTTCGTACTGGAATGTTGCTCTGCTGGGATCAGTTATAAATTTCAGTACACGTCGTGCTCCTCAGATCAAAGTAGGTTGAACATGATTCAGTAGCAGCTAAATGCCCTCATGAAATGGCCAGTCAATAAACCATGCTCCCCAGGGGTACATAGAGCAAGCGGAGATAGCCCCTACCACAGAGGAGAGTATGAGAGGAGTCAGACCTCCCTCTACCCCTTCACTTGACGGACCTCTTGATACCCTCACTGTGGTATCCAGACGGAGCAAGTACCGGGCTGGCACACGCTTCAAACGCAGGGGAATTGATGAGGACGGTGAGTACTACTCACTGAGTACTTGGAGTGTTAAGTTAGTCCTAATTGCAGCCGTATCGGTATAGTAGGAGTTTTTTTCAATGTTTGAGGGATTCATTACGAATCGGTTGTCGTAATAAGACAAATTATGTATCCCTTGCCGATAGTTGATGCAGACTCTATTTTATTGTTTATGACTATGAGACGTAACTGGTTCAGGTTGTCCTGCAAACTACGTAGTGACTGAGCAGATCCTACAAGCTGGAGAAGAACAACTGTCCTACACGATTATCAGGGGGAGTGTTCCCGTCTACTGGTACCAACCCCTCACTAACTACCGTCCTAAACCGGTCATCTTACGGTCCCCTGGTGAGTCCTAAACCGGTCATCTTACGGTCCCCTGGTGAGTTCTAAACCGGTCATCTTACGGTCCCCTAGTGAGTCCTAAACCGGTCATCTTACGGTCCCCTGGTGAGTCCTAAACCGGTCATCTTACGGTCCCCTGGTGAGTCCTAAACCGGTAATTTTACCGTCCCCTGGTGAGTTCTAAACCGGTCATTTTACGGTCCCCTGGTGAGTCATAAACCGGTCATTTTACGGTCCCCTGGTGAGTCATAAACCGGTCATTTTACGGCCCCCTGGTGAGTCCTAAACCGGTCATCTTTCGGTCCCCTGGTGAGTTCTAAACCAGTCCCCTGGTGAGTCCTAAACCGGTCATTTTACGGTCCCCTGGTGAGTCATAAACCAGTCATTTTACGGTCCCCTGGTGAGTCATAAACCGGTCATTTTACGGCCCCCTAGTGAGTCCCAAACCGGTCATCTTAACGGTCCCCTGGTGAGTCCTAAACCGCGCCGGTCATTTTTCGGTCCCCTGGTGAGTTCTAAACCGGTCATTTAACGATCCCCTGGTGAGTCCTAAACCGGTCATTTCACGGTCCCATGGTGAGTCATAAACCGGTCATTTTACGGTCCCCTCGTGAGTACCGTCCTCTCTATTTCAGCTCTCATTATCAACTAATCGCAATCTTGACACGTTATTTGTTTCAGAGGAAGCACTGGAAGCATTTCAACTTCATATGGACAGGCTGGTAGCTACTCATGGAGAAGTTGTAGTTGTTAACCTGCTGGACAGCGAGGGCAAAGAGGCTCCCCTTGGGGACGAGTTCGCTAAAGTGGTTAGTTTCAGTGTTTATTTTAAAACTTACTTTTACTTCAGTTTTACAGGTTTACAAATGACTTTCACCTCAGTTTTATAGTGTAACAACTATTATCTTTTCGCAAAGTTTTTAACTATAGATCTGTTCTAGGCGTACATGTACAACAACGAACGTCTCACCTATGTGGCATTTGATTTTAACGAGTACTGCGCGGGAATGAAGTTTGACAACGTTCAGGTGTTGCTAAAAGAGCTTCAAGGTACGAAATTTCAGTTATTCCATTTTCTAAATATCACCACATTTTCCATTACATTTCCTTCATATGTCCCGCATATTATTAACTCATTAACTAATACTAATCATTAATGATACCACGTGTTTACAACCCCCTACCACGTGTTTACAACCCCCTACCACGTGTTTACAACCCCCTACCACGTGTTTACAATCCTCTACCACGTGTTTACAACCCCCTACCACGTGTTAACAACCCCCTACCACGTGTTAACAACCCCCTACCACGTGTTTACAACCCCATACCACGTGTTTACAACCCCATACCACGTGTTAACAACCCCCTACCACGTGTTCACAACCCCCTACCACGTGTTCACAACCCCCTACCACGTGTTTACAACCCCCTACCACGTGTTCACAACCCCCTACCACATGTTTACAACCCCCTACTCACCAGGCATAACAAACAAGTTCGGCTACACCCACGTGGTACGGGGTGAGATGAGGGAGTGCCAGGTAGGGGCTGTCAGGGTCAACTGTATGGACAGTCTGGATAGGACTAACGTGGTGCAGGGAGCTATTGCTAAACACACCCTCAATAACCTGGTAATACCTGATAATTAACCTGCTAATACTGGCTATTATTTCGTATTCTTTACAGCGTTTATATATCAATATACATGTATGTAGTTGGTTCTAACTATAAGTGTGTTAATTTTACCTCTACGTCCTCTTCTTACATCGTTTCCCTATACTAGGCTGAAGGTGTTGGTATCACGGAGGATGATCTCTCAGTGCCGGGCAAGCTGCTATGGGCTAACAACGGAGACGCTATCAGTACACAATACGCAGGTAATGTATGTCACCTTTCTGCATATACCGTACACAGACCGTACACAGACAGTACACAGACCGTACACAGACAGTACTTTAATTGAGAACACAACTTATTTAAAACCGTAACCAGCTAACATCACATGACTACTCCCTCTCAGGTACAGCAGCATTAAAAGGAGACTACACTAGAACAGGGGAGCGGGGAGTGGCAGGGATGATGAGAGATGGAGTCTCCTCGGTTACTCGCATGTACATCAACGTCTTTAGGTTTGTTAGTCTACTATTTACCTGTAATCACGTGCTTACCTCTGTCTTTATTAGCAAGGAAATCCCAGTAGACCAATCTCTAAACTTTTTCTGTGATCAGCAAATTGATATCAGTCGTTTTATAGAATGAGATCTTACGGTAGTCGGTATCCGTTTCTGATGCGATAGAAAATTGAGGAAATTTTATGAAGATATGTTCAGGGATACGAACAGACAGGCTGCTATCGACATAATGCAGGGATTGGAACCGGATCTGGCGGAGATCCGGGACGAAGTCAGGGAGGTTAGCTCAAATAATTTATTATGAAAAAAGTTATTGATTTGTATCTATTATAAGACTCCCACCCGCTTTGGATGCTTTCTTGCTCACTATACTACCCTGGCCTCTCTTAATTTCAAACCAAGACCCTAGCTTTACACTTTTAAAAAGCGTGACCTATATCCCAGGAACTAGACTGTATCCCCGCACTATTAGAACAAGTACAACATCTTCTACCTACCCAAGAGGACAACAAGACTCACAATATCTACAAGTCTTGGGTCACACAGGTATAGTACCCGGCAACCTTCAGTTCCAATTTTATTTATATACCATTTTTAATTAGATCGGTATTTTACTTACATTTCTTCTGAGTATGCTGTAATTTGTAAGTCAGTTCCAGGTGTCTAGCTGTTGCTAACATGTTTCCTCTTCAGGAATGGCCGAGTGGGGAGGCTAAGGCAGTGTGGCTCACACCAAAGTCGCTGAATATCGTCCACAAACAGGACCAGATGGAAATGTTGTTGTTATCTACCTGTGACCGTGTTCACATAGGTGAGCGCGCTGTGTTATTGTTAGTAGTGTTGGGGGTTAAGTTGAGGGTTACAAGCCAACTTCACTCCCGGACCTCCTAGTCTTGGACCAAATTATGACCGGAACAGTTAAATCTTAGCATTTGACCCTATTTGGACATAATTTGATTTTGTTAGACGTGAACTGGTCTCTAGATGAAAGTTTTAAGTTTCACTGTAAGGAAGTGAGTTATTTATCGTTCTCGCTGCGGTACCAGTTTTACCAGTTTTTAAAACTATGTCATATCCCATACATTTAACATACTAGCTTGATAAGATCTCTACCTTTAACACACTAGTTTGATAAGATCTCTACATTTAACACACTAGTTTGATGAGATCTCTACATTTAACACACTAGTTTGATAAGATCTGTACAGGTCAGCCGCCGGATTGTTTGGGACACTATATGAGAATAATAAACGGTCGAACTCACATTACACTTCGTCCCCTTACTTTAGACGTTACTCAGCTCAAGGTACAGTAAACAGTATTAGTTTTGCGGAAAAATAGGATAGATGATTTTGAAGACTAGATGGATAGTAATTAGAAGTTAAAATATACACCACGTGACATGACGTCACACCACGTGGCATGACGTCACACCACGTGGCATGACCTCACACCACGTGACATGACCTCACACCACGTGGCATGACGTCACACCACGTGACATGACCTCACACCACGTGGCATGACCTCACACCACGTGACATGACCTCACACCACGTGACATGACCTCACACCACGTGACATGACCTCACACCACGTGACATGACCTCACACCACATGTATTGTAGGACGTGCTGATGAAGATGGCTCACTCGATAGTAAGCTGCAGGGATGACCTAGGACTAACTACTCAGGTTCTACACGGACCTCTTACTAAGGCGGATATCGTGGACATGGTGAGAACTTCTGGAATCTTCTTTTAGTTCTATCTGAAAATACCGAACTGCTTTTAGTTCTATCTGAAAATACCGAACAACTATTCTTTTCAGTATTGTTTATAGATAAGTGCAGGCTCATCGGGAAAATTAAACTTCTCATATACTTCTCACTCCCAGGGATTTGACAAGATAAGGTCCTCTGCTAACTCCTTTGGAACTAGAATCGCTGCTGGAGCCAAAAGAATGATCGGTTAGCTATTTTTAAATAGAAATGTAAACAAAATTCGCCGTCGTATATTAATATAGACGGCGAATTATTAATTCATATATCAGATTGTTAGCACATGCAGTTGTCCCACTACTACTCTACTACTACTATTACTACTATTACTCCTGTAATGATTGTGTATCACCAGGTGAAGCTCGTGGTGTTTTAGACCACACCAAGTCGGCACCACCACCACCTGGTGACAGCGGCAGTGGAAGTAACTCTGACAGTCCTAGAAACAGCCCCAAGTTCGGGAAGAGGATGCTCAACATGTTCAGACGTGGGGAAGAGGTTTGTTTTTGTTACTTCACAAACACAAGGAAATGTTTTGTAGGCAGCTTAACGTTTAGTGGTGACTTTGTAACTAGAGTTACGCTTGGTAACTTATGTGATAATGAACTAGCGTAAAGGTTGATTTTACGGCTCTTTGAAATCAGTCATCAACTAATTTTCCTGCTTTTCTTACAAATTCTGATCATAACCTGATGAACAAATAAAGACATTACATTGAGTTTGCTGACGACTACCGTATTTAAAACTTACACAAAACAGACAAATCCAAACCGACTACGAACGAGGAGCTTCACAACAGTTCTCCGAATAAAAAAATCAAAGAAAACCCGCTCCTCCAAAAAGAAACGGTCCTCTTCTTGGTATACAGAGACAGAAGCCGAGCCTTTAGACCATGAAGACTTGTTTAACTTGCATGAACAGATGGCCGCCAACATGGGCGATCTTAACTTCGCGCTGTTAGGTTTGGAGGAAAGAACGGGAGAGAATACTGTGACAAACACACAGACGGACATACATACTGACATACAGTCGGACGGACAGACTGAATCTCACGACACAAGGTCTCGAACTTTTTGGTATATCCCTTAAATTTATAGGTAGGCTGATCACTAAGATATGTGTCAATGTGCTGGCGTTTTATGATAATATCTCATTCTATGAAGTAAAGACGCTTTTGTACAAAACATAAATAATTATCACAACAATATTAGCTGATTTAAAAATCTGGAATGTTACAACTGCTGTACTGTCATCTCATCTCGATGTGGTTCCGTGTTTATTGTTTGTTGTCTCCGTATTTTACTAGCAATTTTAATTGTTAGTTGTTACCAATGGTGTTTATTGTGGTGTCTATTGTGGTGAAATTGTGATATGATTGTTGTATTATTGTGGCTTATGTATATCGCAGGGTGTGACTGAAAGCGAGAGTGATATTCCAGGAGCATATTTCGTCATATCACTCAATCTTCTCATTATCGGAACAATTCTTGCTCATCAACAGTTCAATAATAATTGAGAGATGTGAGTTAAAAAGTAAAAACGCACTGTTTCTTCCTCTTTTTCCTCTCGTCTCTTCTTGTTTCTTTATCTGGACCTTCACCTTACGCCCTTTATGTCGATATAATTAATGTTTCAGGTCCTGCAAATGAAATCGGACGGAAAACCCCGCTTCATATTTATCGTAACCCCGAAGTTCTTGGTCTCATCTAGCTCACGTAATGACGTACAGCTTATTTAAAGCAGCTTATTCGCAAATACTCTTTTTTCATTCCCCGAATTTGTCTGACGCAGCGAGGGATTGAACTTTCTTTTATTAATGTTCCGAACTTTTTTGCTTAATTTCACTTAACCACGTTTTCAAATTTTAATCTCTGGTTTTATCAGCTCAATTTGTTTTTGATTTATCTTTCTTTTCTCTTAGAAGATAATATCAGCTTCTGAATGCTAAACTAGGCTTGGGCTCTTTTCTTAGTTCATCGATCCGGATACTGGTGGAGAGGTTTTGACACGTGCCTGTGAAATTGGTCAATCATGAGAGTTGATTTAGTAATCACTGTCGCGTGTCAGAAAAAATGTAGTTCACCTCTTCACCACTCTACCGGATCTGGACATAGATGTTAAAAAACTTGTAGCCGAACACATCAAAATGATAATGCTGCTAGTAACAATAATTATCTCAAGGGATCAAACCTATCCTCGGTATCGTAGGAGTTGTTAAACGATCGATCATTATAGTTATAGTAAAACTCTGATTTACCGTGAAAGCTGGGTTGAAGGAAACAGCCGCGCTAAATCGGGATTTCTGCCAATCAGGGCGTGCTAAATAGCTAAATCCAGGTTTTGCTGTTCCATCAACTTCAAGTTGATATTAAATTGGGGTTCCTGTGGGCTGTGCAGCTGTCTGCGGTGGAGCTGAATTAGACTACCCTGCCTGTTCCAGGCTTTGTCTTTTTTAACTTTTGTAGAACTCAAAGATCTAGCTGCTTTATACCGTTATTATGTTAACTAACAAGATCTGACTTTCTTGTGAACACATCTCTCTTTCGCTACATCTCTTCTTTCTAAAACTATAACTAGGCTTTTACTCTTTTAGTGAATACTCTCACATCTCCCAGTGATCCGTACTAAAAGTAAAGTAATACTGCACTAGTAATACGACTAACAAGTTCCCTATTCCAGGTAGGGCCGACCTTACCCCCAGTTCGCCTCTCCGAGATCGCTCACCGTAACAGTATCACACGAGTGGAAGTAGACGGTTTAAACGAACACCTCCCGGACCAATCCGGACCGGACACCTGCTCCGGAAGCAATTCGGACACTGAACAGGAACGACCTGGCATTGTAAGGACACTCCGAGTTGCTTGTTCTGACACAGAATTAGATAAAATAGCGGTGGAAGGTGATAATCTGAAGGGTAGATCCGCTACCTTGGAATCCATTGATAGTTTTAATAAGTCAAGGAGCAATTTTATTTTCTTTGATAGGCTGACTGCTACTTTTGACTCTATGTCTAGTGGTAGCCCGAAAGATTGACCCGTGCTGTAATATTTTAGTGTATAATTATAATTTGTAACATGTCTGTTTTCTACTTACAATTATTGGTGTTATCGACCTGTATTATAATGAATGTAAGGGCAGTCTAGTCCAGTGACTGCCGATAGTCACACGTCGTTAATGTTATATACTTCTCACGCATCATTCTATATATCTCACGCGTTATTTCAGGCTTTTCATGCGTTATTTCATACTTCTTGTGGAGCTCATACTTCTAATCAAGGTCTCTACAATATACTATTTATACTTGATTTGTTTAACTTTGCAATAAACTCACACCACATTATTGGTATTATACGTTGATTGACGATGTCAATCCTTCGCATCTCGCCGATCTTGCGAGAAGCATTATTTGATGCGCGCGCGACCCAGTAGTGCATCGCGCTACTATATTATACGTTACTTTTGTGTATATAATTTGATATAAATCATGCATATATTTAAACCCGCGTGTTGAATTGATTCATTGTTTGATATGTGATTTTATATCTGCTCTATCGTTTGAAAAGAAGTGATTTATTTTTATTTAGTCTATACAAAATCCAAGGTCAGAAATGCGGAAACGACCAAACAATAGTGATTCAATTTCAAAATGTTGTTTCCAAAAACTTAAAATTAAGGATAACAAACACTAAAATTCTTTTTAGCACATGTAAAATCTAAAAAGTCGCCTTGACACCATAAAAAACATTGTAATTATATCACTATTTTGATAAACTTCAGGTTCCAAACTAGCAGTATTAGAACATTAAACGAGCTCTAAGTCTAATACTAATAGTAATATGGTGCGCCGTGCAAGGCACCCGACTATCATCAATCATGATCAGGGGCACCGCATGGGATGATGATTAATCACTCACACTCGACTGTCACGTGACTTTTTCAACTCGTTCTCTAGCTGGTCCTGAAGGACTATTCGAAACCCTAACCCTCTATAAATCTGATCCCAACCCTAACCCTAACCCAATCTTTAACAAAAACATATGCTAAAACCGTAACCCTAACGAGAAATTGGACTAACTTCCTTATACGGTCATATCACGTGATCGAGACAGTTTTCGCCAATATCTCGTCAGGAGAGTATTTTAACTCTATGTCATAGGGGGTGATTCGGAATCAGCGTCCCAAAATACATCCATTGAAGTTGGTTTCAACTGTCGGGGGCCCTTTTACATTTTAGAACAATCTCGAAGATCGACTGTAGAGTGATTTAGCACACTCGCACTGCATGCCCTAAGATTTCAGCATATGCTTTTGTTAGGGATCATGGGTTAGGGTTAGTTGTAGTGGTTAGGGTTGGTGCTGGGTGCAGACTGCAGAGTTGTAGCGCGATGCACTACTTAACTGGGCCGCGCCGCGCATCTTCTCGCAACCACATTGACATATGCATGACATATCGGCGAGATGCGAAGGATTGACATCGTGAATTTCAAGTGCAGAGGTCCAACTAAGGGGTTGTTCACATATTACGTTATCTCTTTTTGGACAATTTTTAACCCCACTACTACTAGCTCCGTAATCAGTTTTACACATAGCTATTGTGTCAAAATTACACTAGCGTAATCATTTGGAAACCCCTGTGCCCTGGCCTCCCCTCGGCTGATTACGTAATAACAATATGTGAACGACTTAATTGACGATGTCAATTCATGGCAGCTCGGCGCGGCACAGTAGCGCATCTCGCCGATCTAGCCAGTAACACTAACGCAGTAACGCATCGCGCTACAAGTGAACGACTCCTAAACAGTGATTGTATAATATATCAATATGAACGACCCCTGACACAACTATAAGTATATCCCCTTAAAATTTCCCGGGTTGGGCTTAGTGCCAGCGAAAGGTTATCATGTGGCCATGGAAAAATAAACACTCTTATGGTTGAATTTAAAAATTGAGATTCAATTTCGTATCGAAATCATAACTTAACAAATCACAAATATACTCAAATAAACATGTTACATGAGGATCGACTTAGATCCGTGTCAAACAAAACGGTATAACTGCAGCGAATAACAGATAGCCACTCAGTCTCAGGGTGAAAGCATATACTTTTAACAGTGTTAATCAGCATTATATATTCTTCGTAACAAGCTCTTGCACACCGATCATAATATTAAAGTATGTACATTCAATTTATTTCCTATATGATGCACGGTTTTAGATCGTTAGAAACACGGATAAAACCAAAATTATACGGTTATTCTTTAAAACAGGCACATGCACTAAAAGTAAAAGTTTAACATTCTCAAATCTGCATACATGGCTTAAAATTACAGTATTAAATTATAGTACACGCAAGTATCAGATAAAAAGTGAAAAAATAAACAGAGAAAGAAACTTTAAAAAGCGTCACAATCTTGAACTGGTAGAAAGACTTTGTGAAAGTGCGGGAGAGGTGGGCCCACTTGACCGAGGTACTGGCAGTTTTCTCTTAGCCGCCACCTTCTCCTCCGCACTTACAGTTAAATCCTTTAAGTTTCGTTGGGATCTAAGCGGTCGAGCTGGAAATGATTCGTCCAGAGTGGCGTACGATGGTCGGTCACATCGGGGAGTTGAGTGTTCTTGTGGGGTCACTGAAATGGGTCTAACTGAGCTGATCGTCCCACCGGCACCACAGGGCTGTATATCCGGACTATAGTCCAGTTTGGGAGCCTCTTCCTCGCTCTCAGCAGCTAACATTACCAGGATATCTGCCGGACTGCTAGGTCTCATCCCAACTGCCTCGCTGTTAGATATCACATTACTTTTCGTATCGAGCCGCAGACGGTGTGGGGACTCTGGTTCATTTCCGTTACACTCCTCCGCGATACTGTTCATGTAGATTTTGCTGTTGGTGTCGAGTCGGGCCCGGGGCTGACCCGGAACGTCTAGAGCGTTGGGGGGTGATGTTGGGCTCCGTTCTGGTTCTTTTAACCTGGGGAGTTGGGTTTTAGTTGCGTGCAGAACTAGATTAGTGCTTCACAGAGGCGGGGGAAAAGTCTGCTGAATTTAAATTGTTAAACTTAATACATCTGTTTTGATCAAACGGTTCAATTCAGATAAAAGTGAATTAATTATGAAACCGTATTAAAGACAAAATTATGAAGGCAGAATTCAGAATGTTGGTGAGGGCTGTCACAAGTGGGATTGAAGATGTGCTAATTTCAGTGAACAACAAGGGTTGATCCAAACAAAAAAGGGCAGGTGTCGGGATACAATTAAATGTATAATTTGATGCTGAATATGTTCGTTGATCTTTCAGTAAGTCGTACCATTATCCTTCTCAGCATCACTGACCATTTTGGTGTATTTCTACGAATCAGCAAAATAATGGATGGTCAGAGAAGTAACTTCTGATTCAGCGTTTTCTCAACATAACAAGATGATCAGCAAAATTAGAGAAATTTAGTCTACGTAAATGTATGACATTACGTAAATGTATGACATTACTTTAAAATTTTGTTTGGAAAATCTTACCATTTTTGACTGTCTAAAAATGTACTTTTCCTGATATGAGGATAAAACGAATATGAGGATAAAACCAACATTTAAATGGTTGTAACCAAAATAAAGTTCAAGGAAATTTCTCTTCCTCTATTTCTCGGAACTAAAGATACAAAGTTTTCTTTTTTCCTTCAAATCGAAGAGGGAGCACGCTGCTAAAAAGTACCTCTCTTTGAAGCCAGAAGTACCGGATGCCTGCTCCACGTCTTGCATATTCACAAGTCTAGGTCTCCATATAGAGAACCGCCTAAAGGAGGAGCGAAGTGGCTTACTGGCATGTACCATATTTGATCCCTCCACATTTCATCTCAGGACATTTCACACCCAAGGCCCCAAGTACCAACCCTAACTCCCTAATACTATAATCTCAAAAAGTAGGGGTGAAATGTAGAGGGACAATGTCCAGTTCACGACTCACGTTAACTAATAGATACAATTTAATTTAGTCTCTGCTAAAGCGTAGTTATACTACTGATCCCTATTACCAGATGATACATCTGAATATTAAAGAAACTGTCCGCCCGAATGTTGTAAAGGGTTTACTTAAATAAACACCACACTAAACATGAAGACAATATCGCCAATGAACATTGAACCAATTTTCGCATCACTCAAACTTTAAGAAAAAGAAAAATAAGAGAATAAAATGTATGTCACACCAGCTGCAGATACCTCATTTTAGGGGAATCACTGTCATCTTTTTTAGGACGTCCGAATATTGAAAACCTGAGCAGGTTGATGAAGGATGCGTGATTCACAACATATTTAGAAATCATTACATCACACTTACACATAAACAAATTGTTTAGTTTTATCAATATATTTCTCCGTATAATTATAAAAAGATGCTTTTCAACTTGCTGTTGTTCAATATGATCAAGTCACATGCCACACACACAAGAGGAAGTCACCCAAGAAGTCACACACAGGTACCTATGACTGGGAGACCGGTCCCGGGACGAGTTTATAACGCTCCCATCTAGATTGGACCGTGAACTGGAGGTGTTCAGGTTCCTCTGTACGTGAGAGAGGAGTCTGGTGCACCTTTCTAACAGCCTGCAATTATAGGACAACTCAAACGACATCTTTCTGGTTATTTTCTATTTACGGGGTTTATTTAGCAACATTTATAACATTCTCCACGGACAGTGTTATCTTTGGGGTCACATCTCATCGCTTTTATTTCATGTGCTAGCGATGATAAACGTGAAGAAGGTGGTGGTGTCAAGTGTAGACGTTGCGGACAATGTAAAAGTTGGGACATTCCGTCCAAGATATAGAATTAGGACTGTCGTTGTGTAACATCTACCATATATTTGAAACCGTTGCATTCTTGGTTTTAATTAGAGTTTGTCAGAATTTAGCGTGACCGCAATACTTGTGACTGCAAATGGTTCAATCTCTAAGTGTGAACTAACATGTATATTAGCTTTAGATGCTAAACGACAATTTCTGTACGGGTTACCACCTACATGGTGTTAACAAACGGCGAGGAAAAGCTTAAATATACAAGTAATTAACAACCTTTACTCTTTAATCCAATGTTATAATTTAACAAATTAATGATTGACCAAGGGTTTAACAAACATTCCAGAGGACACCTGCGAAATTGGAACATAACAAATAGTGACCAAGAACCAACCTCTTGGAGTATGTTCTACCGTGGATGATCTCTCCGTGCTTCCGGAGCCATAACAGAGGTCTGGTAGCGGTAACCGCGTGGAAGTAGGTAGGACAAGTCATCATGTAACAGAAAGGAATCAGGATACTACCCAGACACGTCCAGAAAGAAAGGAAGTCCATTCTTATCACCTCACTGGGTCCTTGTAGATTATCGGCTTCAACTGCTTCTCCCTGAGGGGTTCGGATTAGGATTGGTCGAGGTTTAATATACGAATGAGAGGATCTTATATTACATTAAAAAATAAAATGAGATGATAGCTTAAAGTTAAAATGATAACTAACATTGTTGACTTTTTTTCGATGAGCCAAGTCTTGACCTAGGAGAAAGAAAGAGCAGATCCACTTTGGTAACTGAGTAACAGAGAATACTAACACCATACACAAACTTGCCTTGTATCTGATGGAGCTTGTTTTAGCTATGTATCACTATAAACTTGATAAGCGTTGGGGCTTGATTTATATTATTAGTGATAGTCTCTAGCACGCTTATCAGAAGATTTAATTCATGAGCAGTTCAAATGCTACATGAGTAGAATTAGCGGCTTCATACTAGAGCACTTGACTGAAAAGCTGGAACTTTGGCAGTTGGCTCATGTTTTGTAAAAGCCATGATTTGGAATTATAACTGTATAACTGGAAATGTTTTTTGGAGTAACTTATTAACAATAACTCAAGAGTACAGCGACCATGTTCAGGACACTATTGCTTATCAAGCTGCTGCACTATAAACCTCTGTATAAAAGTTCTAGCGTTTTCTAGCTGGTCTTCCTCGCTCAGCTCCTCTTTCCTGTTTCCCTTCAACATACTTCGCTTTCTTAGGTACAATAACAGCTGAAATTTACTGAATCAACCATTTCAGCCATCACTCTTGATCAAGGACCCAAACTCCACAGTGATGTGGGTATGATTAAAATCAATCAATCAATCTTTGGTGGAAAAAGGAAACTTACTCTTACTTACCGTATACGAAATGGCGGCGTAAGCAACAGGTAAAATAAAGAAACAGAGCAGGTAGATATAGAGCTCCTTGTAGGTTGTAAAAGTGTATGCTGTAAAACAGTTGATAACAGGTTTAGGATCGTCGTGTCCCGTGACGTTACACTGTAGATACTTGTCGCTTATTCCTGAAGGCAGAAATGTTTAATTATGTAAAGAAATTATGTAATTACATAAATTAATTACGTATGTTAATTTTAATTACGTATGTTAAAATATAAAAATAAAAAAATAAAATATTAATCGATGCAATTTCGAATTGCACAGAAACTGGCTTACCACATGTAGTCATGTACACTATGTATAATTGGCAAAGAAACATTACGCTCGCGCTTTCTATTGTCAAAGATTAAACAAATCTGAGCCAGGTGTATTCATTACCAGGTTTGTCAGCTGCGAATAATTTGCTACATAGACCTTTAATTAAGCGAGAGTTCATGAAATATACTACTTGTTACTGTATTAGTATATGTATATTTGTGATGGCAACAAAATCAAATATACATATTATGGCACTAATGCCTATTCTGCTGTTAGGAGAGAAATCATTAAATCGATTTAATGATCGAATCTAAAAAGGCAATTTGAGCAGGTGCTTGTTTACTGGGCCGTACTCATCTTTATTATGAACATTATAATAGCCTCGGGTCCCCAGGTAAGTGCTTGTAGATTATCATTAGCTAAAATCATAGTGATATTTAAATACATTGACATTATAAAGTTTGTGAATAGGTAGAATACTATTCTAACGATAGCAATAAAATACATGTGGTTCTGCCAACCACCTCCTTTATAGAAACTTAATAGTCAACCCCACACAGTAGAAATGGAATGGCCTCTTAAAAAGATTTCGCAATATCGACCATGATGATTTTTGAGCTTTTAAGTTGTCAGAAAACAAAATGGTCAAACACAATCGGTTGAACACAACTTTAATTTTAAGTCGAAGCTGGAAAATGAAATCTACGTTACACAGAATTCAATTAATCAGCGATTATTAATGATTAGTGTCAACAACCAAAATCCAAGTCCCCCACCGTAATCAACCGTAATCATTTGGGAACCCCCTCCCCCCTCGGCTGATTACGTCAAGGTTGTTAAATACGTATTAGGAGGGAATACGTATTGGAATACGAATACGTATTAATCCTCGAAAATTGACGTTTTACGAAAAGGTGTGGCTTGAAGTTGAAATTGATCGCGGACGGTCTTTAAATTCTGAACATCAAAATCATTAAATATGTATTAATATGTAATTGATAATTTCGCAAAAAATGTTAGCTTATCGGATTATCCATGAAATTTGATTACAAATATAAGTTATCATGTATAACTGCACTCCTTTAATGCATGATCAATGATGAGGGTGGCGCGCAGCTGTAATTTTTAATTTTGACAAATCAGCGTATTACGGCGTATTATGGCGTATTCGTGGAGGTATTTAACAATCCGTAGAAATTACCGTATTACGGCGTATTACGACGTATTCTTTATTAGAACCGAATACGTCGTATTATTTCACGAAAATTTGACGTATTTAACAACCTTGGATTACGTAATATGTGAACGACCCCTAAATGTATTAGTTGTGGTAAATGTACCGGAAATTGTATTATCTGAGTTGTTGGTGTCAATGGGCGAGAATCCTCACCTTAGATTAAAAAATTGTTAAATAGAAATTTTAAAAATTTAAAAATTCTCACCTAAAGATCCTCCATCAGTTAAGAACCAGTCCTGGTCCCACATTAAAATCATGTGGGGGATAAGAGCTGTTACCCATAACGACATGGCTACCTTCTTCACAAGATACACCTGAGAAGATGGCATCTTTAGTTAAGAAATAATAGGGAAGATTTCTAGAGTAAACTGCAATTGTATTTGTTACTGTGCTGTCAACAGTTCGATTTTTAACCAAAAGTGTAGGTGAAAGATAGACCGAAAATGTTATTTAACTATGTTTAATGAGCTCTTACCTTTACGACTGATTTAAGATTTGTGAAGCGGTATATCAACATATCAAACACTATCATTAGTACGTGCATCATGTACAATACCTGAAATAGTTCCAAAATTATGTTCATAATTTTTACAGCTAACTTAAAGAGTACAGAAAATGCGACCAACTCAAATAATTTCAACTGTATCCCAACATCTCTTGATTTTATCATTTAAAATCCATTAAGAAACATTTACTTCAGATACTGGTGCAAGAATTTATAACAATTTTTGCACTAAATTCCAAAGCGATAAGTCGTGATCAAATGACCACATAAATTCAGAAGAAGAAAATTATAAGATTCAATATTCAGTATTAACGTATTTAGGTCCAATTCGAAATAAGGACCAAAGTGAAAGTGAATGTGAAAGTGAACGTAAAAGTGAACACTAAGGTATCTCTCACCTCGAAATAAGAAGTGCAGTAAGCAGTGAAAGTGCACCAATAGTTTCCAAGCCCCCAACCATCAGTGCGCAGCATTGTGTAGACTCCCATAGGATACACCAGGAAAGCAACCAAGAAGTGGTTGAAACTCAGGCTGACTGCGAACACAAACGTGAACTGGTCGATCTCCTTCCATCGCTCCACTATTGAGGCTAGCACTACTGACGCGTTGCTCACCTGGGATTAAAGAGGGTTCCCACTTTAGAAGTTATTTACGCAGTCACGTGACATATTCATGAGATGTTTCAGCTGCAAGGTTTACGTGTGTACGGTAGTTAACATCACACATATTACAGTAATTGTAGCTAAATAACAGGAGTGTGATGACAGTTCACAGTTTAACATTTGACACTCAGAACTCTGAATTACTTTACAATAAGTGTGTTAGTGTGTAGTACCCTGAATAGTAACAATAAGTGTGTAGTAATAGTAATAGTATGTCTTACAATAGCTGTAACTCTGTAAGTGTAATAGTAACATGTCTTACAATAGCTGTAACTCTGTAAGTGTAATAGTAAGATGTACTCTGTACTCTGTACTCTGTACTCTGTACTCTGTACTCTGTACTCTGTAAGTGTAATAGTAAGATGTACTCTGTACTCTGTACTCTGTACTCTGTACTCTGTACTCTGTACTCTGTACTCTGTACTCTGTACTCTGTACTCTGTAAGTGTAAATTATGTAAGATGGCTTACCATAGCAGTTAGTGACACAAGTAGATAGAGGATTACAAAACTTGCTGCGTGCCAGTCGTCCCGGTTACATATAAACGCCATGTTCAACAAATCTGAAATTATCAGCATAACAGCATAAGTACTACTGAACACAAAGTACTACTGAACACCGTACTACTGAACAAAAGTACTATTGAACACCAAGGGATACTGGTAACCGGATACCGATCATCTTAGGTTATCCGGTTTACGTTTTCCACATTTAGCGGTTACAAAAAGGTCCCAGTTGCCACATTTTTGCCCATTTTAGATTCACATCACCAACTCCATTTGTAAACCACTATGTGGAAATTACAGCTGTTACTTAGATATGTTATTAGTGAAAAATCACTAACAAATATGCATGTATTAACGTCTGGGCTACTGTTAATGACGAACCTGTATAATTGTAAACTTGGCATTTGAAGGCCCATGTAGCAGCTTCTTCTTTGGTCTGACATTCTTGTTTTTGCGCGTGCCACACGTGCTCGTTCTTCATCGCTGGAAAATCTTCTGTTATTTTAATGGAAACCGGTTAGTGGCCGAATGGGAATCGGTTAGTAGCTAATTTGCTGGATAGTTGATAGGAATTAGGAACTGACTTACATACTGTCTAGGTAGTGTATTGATAGCTAGCTAGTAGGATAACGTCTATAGAAGTACTCAAATAATCTGGATGGACGAAGGTAGATTATGAACTTAAATAAAAAAATTTAACAAACTATACTAAGATATCGATATGTACAATAAAACATAAATGCATAGTTTGGAAAGTTATTGTTTGAAAGAGCCTTACGAAACGTGGTAACACAAATAAGACATAAATTTATTGATATACAGCAATTACACGCGAAAATAGCAGAAAAATTAGAAACGGTCATTCCATGGTGCGGGGGAACTAGAGAGCAAAGGAAGGTTAACAATAAACGATCATTGTTCTCCAACGACCAACGGTAACTGAAATTGCACAATAATTCGTTTTGTGTGAGTAGGACAACACCCATATATCGCACTGTTAAAATTAGTTCACGAAGGTTATGAAAGAAAGGTACGTAAAGTTGTAAAGAAAGACATTTAATAATTCAGCCTTATTGTGTACTGGAGCATTCTCCTTGATTAAAAGAAATATATATAACTTAGACATTTTTTTAATTTCTCAACCCTACGCGCCAGAGAAAACAGGAGTGTTGTAAAACCATAGCTCGCAAATCAGTGAACAAAGATTAAATTAATTTTAATTAACTTTACCCAATTTACCTAATCGACAGTGTCCTATGTTGGTTATGACTAGTACTACTACTACTACTACTACTACTACTAGGTAAAATCCGTTACTAATTCAAAAACAACAGATGTGATCGGAGAATAGCGGCTGGCGACGAAAACTTGCTATGAATTTACTTGTGTACAATCTGTCGTATTGAGTACTACTGTTTTAAATGCAAAGCTAAGATAATTCCCCTTGGCTTATTGGCTGTTGCATCTATTGAAAAAAATAGAGCTGGTTTGTCATGATACAATAATACCTTGGCTGTTGAGTGCTACCCGTGATAATTCCCGACGCTTTAGCGGAGGGAACGCGGGGCACGAAACGAAGCCAAGGTATTATTTGTTATTATCTGATGTTATCTGATATATTTTCAACAGTAAAAATCAAAATCTGCGTTCCTAAACCGGAGTTTAAAGGTTCACTAACGAAATGTGTCTTCATCGGTCAATATTACATAAAAATTGGTATAGCTATAGAATATCCTCCAGCTCAGTAATACGCGAACATTCACTTCTTAGTTGGTAAGTAATTGTATAATAGCAGGAGAGAGAATCCACAATTAGAATCGCCCGAATGTGATTTTATTTAATAGTCTTTCAACCGACTTTTCAACAAACCTTTCAATCGACCAATGAAGACAAGTATATTATGTAAACACCTAATACTAGATATAAACCCGGATAATTCTAGCTTAAACACGAACTGTACTTTGATAGTACGAGTAACATAATTTTAGTATAGAAAAGTTGAACAAGTGAGTTAAAGGCGCTTTTTTCTACTGAAATCACGCAAATTCTAAGAAATATTAAACAATTAAAATAAAAACGAAGGCCTGCACAACACTCTCGACCATAGCTTGGGAAATTTCCAAAACACGTTAGTGTAGATACGCCAAAGTTCTGACTGTTTCAAGTTACAATAGATACGGCTTTGTCGTGCCTGTAGTAGTGATGATATTGCTGGGATGTGTTTAACATGTGGCTGAACTGTTGAAATTACTCAGCTGTTCAAATTAGTCAACTACCCTAGTTTTATCGTTTATCTGGCCTGGACCGGTTGTAATCAGGACTTATCACGTAATTTCAGGACTTTTGGAAATCTTGGAATTACCTTGGGAGAATCTTGAAGTCCTTCATATCAGATTTAAACAAATTTTCAACACTTTCAACACTTCAAACGCTTGAGGATATAACAATAATCTAAGGCTAAGGATGTGGAAAATGGAGATATCACTTATTATTTGCGTCGCTTCACTGTGAGAATACCTGTTTTAAAGTTAAACACAGCGACAAGTACCCGAAAACAAGTGACTAGAATCTCGAGTAGGTACGGAAACAATAAACATGGGACCCCAGTGACTACAACAGAGTGACTACAACAGAGTGACTACAACAGAGCTGAGACTACAGCAGTGACTTCAATAGGGATTACAACATTGACTACAACAGTAACTACAACAGTAACTACAACAGGGACTAACAAAACTAATAGCCAATACTGCGCGGAGCGGCCACTGATATCAGCTCCAAAACGCAATTATCTCATACAACTATACCGGTAATTTGTTAAACAAATGTGGAACAGAGAAACATAACACTTGTTAGTTGCGTGAGCCGTGAGGCCTGTTCAGCTAGGGGACAATGGCGACTACACGCTGGAATAAAGATAATATAACTCCTTCTCTTAATCCATCTCTCAATTCCCAGTAGCTTCACACTTCAGGTGTGAATATTGTGCCGGCAAATGTAGTGTTTCCAGAAACAAAAACTGCAACAAAGTACAAAGTAAACGTCACGGAGAGGTAATTCTGATAAGTGGGTGTTGAGGAACAGGTCTTCAGAATATCAGACTTGTGAGAGACTGCACAGCCGTCATTTAGAGACTGTATAGTTCACAGCCGTCAATTAGAGACTGTATAGTTCACAGCCGTCATTTAGATACTGCACAGCCGTCATTTCTAATGTCATGAGGCAGTTCACTCTGCTAACTACTGTAGGTTTACTTCTGATGCAATTCAACCTAACTATGAGGTTTCGCTGCAGACCAAAGCTTCAATACTACCTTTTCGAGAGGCCGAGACAACGGAAAGGATATCTTAATGTTAGCAAAATAAAAATTGTCAATTTCTCTTACAAACACTTGTCATCTTGTTTTAAACATTGTTTTGACATGGACAAATTTCAACATCATGCCAAATAAGCTTTTAAACTTTGTGAACGGCTGGCTCGGTTCAGGAAGGATCGACCTCCATTACTGTAAACCGTTCTGTAACTGTAAACCGTTCTGTGAACCGTTCTGTCTCGAATCAGTCGAATGGTGGGACGTGTTGATAAACTGTCCTATTCATAAATACGAGGTTCTTGATCTTGTGAGATGTGAGATGTCCATTATTTGTGTCACGCTTGAATAAGTTATTTAATGAAGCGTTACTTTAATTTAGTGATAAGCTTCAAAGAGTTTGGGAGTTTACGAAACTAAACTGATGTTAGGAGAACTCACCCGAGAAGGAGTTCGTTTTATTCTCACACTAATTGGGCAGGAAGAAGTCAAGATTAAAATATTCGCAATTATACTTTCTTTGTATTATGCAAGTCTCCAATATTACATGGGGGGTTTCAACAAGAGAACGTAAACAAAAGCAAAATAATCGGTGAAGAATAATTCGCACGCCACAACAGTTAAAGCATCTCATGATTAATTATCTCACCGTCTGACATTATTTTCTCCATAACTGGCCGTAAGTATTATTTTAAACTTTCCAACCTAGCTGAATTTGGGATTTCCTAGTAATGTCTAAGTGTTGTGAGCTACCGTACCAACTTTCGTCAGTACTTGCCACATAGCACAAATTGATCTTTCTTTGATCTTTTAAGTCGCCCTAAGCTTTTGACCTGTTAATTTCACTGAAGCTTCGTTCCAGGGAAAGCCTGAGAAATCCTCCCAACGATTTATACCAGCTACAACTCTACAAGTACACTGAAGGAAACAGTCCTGAAACGAGCGCTAACAATCACAGATAAGAAAACTGAGCACACTTCACTTACTAGTGTGTCCTGAAACGAGCGCTAACAATCACAGAGAAGCAAACTGAGCACACTTCACTTACTAGTGTGTCCTGAAACGAGCGCTAACAATCACAGAGAAGCAAACTGAGCACACTTCACTTACTAGTGTGTCCTGAAACGAGCGCTAACAATCACAGAGAAGCAAACTGAGCACACTTCACCTACCAGTGTGTCCTGAAACGAGCGCTAACAATCACAGAGAAGCAAACTGAGCACACTTGCTTCACTTACTAGTGTGTCCTGAAACGAGCGCTAACAATCACAGAGAAGCAAACTGAGCACACTTGCTTCACTTACTAGTGTGTCCTGAAACGAGCGCTAACAATCACAGAGAAGCAAACTGAGCACACTTCACTTACTAGTGTGTCCTGAAACGAGCGCTAACAATCACAGAGAAGCAAACTGAGCACACTTGCTTCACTTACTAGTGTGTCCTGAAACGAGCGCTAACAATCACAGAGAAGCAAACTGAGCACACTTCACTTACTAGTGTGTCCTGAAACGAGCGCTAACAATCACAGAGAAGCAAACTGAGCACACTTCACTTACTAGTGTGTCCTGAAACGAGCGCTAACAATCACAGAGAAGCAAACTGAGCACACTTCACCTACCAGTGTGTCCTGAAACGAGCGCTAACAATCACAGAGAAGCAAACTGAGCACACTTGCTTCACTTACTAGTGTGTCCTGAAACGAGCGCTAACAATCACAGAGAAGCAAACTGAGCACACTTGCTTCACTTACTAGTGTGTCCTGAAACGAGCGCTAACAATCACAGAGAAGCAAACTGAGCACACTTGCTTCACTTACTAGTGTGTCCTGAAACGAGCGCTAACAATCACAGAGAAGCAAACTGAGCACACTTCACTTACTAGTGTGTCCTGAAACGAGCGCTAACAATCACAGAGAAGCAAACTGAGCACACTTGCTTCACTTACTAGTGTGTCCTGAAACGAGCGCTAACAATCACAGAGAAGCAAACTGAGTACACTTCACTTACTAGTGTGTCCTGAAACGAGCGCTAACAATCACAGAGAAGCAAATTGAGCACACTTGCTTCACTTACTAGTGTGTAAACGAGTGGACATCACGTACAAAAAGCAAAGGAAAGTAGAAAAAAGAGTTGTTTACGGAGTTACGGTGATGCTTACTAATTCGGAGCCGAAAGTCACAATCATTAAAATACAGTGTTTTGAACAGGTGTTATTATAAAATTAAATATGTTGACAACAACAACAAATATGCAGCCAAATATTTCTGGAAAATTCAGACCCAAATAATTAAACATAAATGCAGCCTACTACATCTAACTAATAATCCCAGAATGTGTGTCTGTCTGTCTGTTTGTAATTTCCGAGCGGCTTAATCAAGAAAACGGTAAGAGTTGCGGGACTGATTTTTTCGGTAAAGTGCCGACAAAACTCTGACGAAGTTAAATGATAAAGGTTTTTTAAATCGGTCATTGGTAAGTGGTTTAATTGATGGTTTTGTACCACAAATGTTACATAAAATAGCTTGAGCAGAACAGTAAGAGTTACGGGGCTCGCATATGTAGCATAATTAGTGTAATTGAGTTACCCGGGTAAGATTCGCTGTCTATACTATAATCTCATTAGGGGAGGGGGCACTGTTTGGACTGCAGAGAGAGAGTTCATACTTTCATACGACAATGTTATGCGTGTTCACAAATATGATAGGCGGGTGTGGTGTTAAGGGTTAATTTCTATTGATTATTGTTTAAGATACTATTACTATTGTTTAAGATACCATTGGATACGTGAGGGCACTCAGAATAGAATTGCTCACCTAATGCGGGTTTTGACTCAGCAGGTAAATGCTCCTACCCTTTTTAACTGCGGCAGTGAAATCCCGGCCGAAGGCCGGGTTACACTAGTATATAATAATGTGGCATGGGCGCCAGGTGTTTTACTTTTCAGTAAAAGGAGGCAATAATTAAACAACTTGCTCACTCCTAGTTATAACTCCTAGTTATAGAAGCACGGAGTTTTACTGCAGTCCTAACAGAGCACCAGAGAACTGATCTACGGGATATTTGAATATTACTTTATTTGGGCTGGTATTAAACCGTTTAAACAGGCTGTAAGCTGCAGTCTCATGTTGTGGTGATACGTCTACACTTTGTGGTTGAGCTGATCTACCTTGAACCACAATGACAAAGATAGATAGGTAGTAACATCTCGGTTCTCATCTACTACCTACAACTAGTGCCACCATACTCCCTATATAATAAGATCATTTGTATAATCTAGGTGTGAAAGTTACTCTTAACAGAGTATTAGATAGGACGGTTAAGATATTACAGTTAGGAATAATACTATTGATTAACGATACTTGGTATTTAAACAGCTTTAATGTGAAGAGTATGGAAAACACGTGGAAATGTCGAATCATCCAACTTTTATAGTTGGTTCGTCCAGAAAATGATCCGAATGAAAGAGGAGTTTTCTATGACAAGGAGTCCCACCCCATTTATCCATCAGTTTTGGATTACTGGACAAACTAAAAGCGTGAGAATAAGTTCGACGGTGGATCCGATCGAATTTTCGACTAGTACAACTACATTACAAGAGATTAGATAGAATGAATTAAAAACGTATACCGCTATATTGTTATGTGGTATACTGAACTTCTAAAAAAGGAATATTAAAAACAAATCTTAAATCTTAATGATCTCTAAGAATAAACTGTAAGTAAAAACTTAAACAATGTAATATGTTGGATAGGCAGTACAACACCACAAACTTAAACAAAACTGTAACTTCAGCCAATATCTGCCGTGATAATCGAAATTACGAAGATAATACAGATCGAGCTGCACTTTGTCCAAATGATTTGAAACCAAGTATGCACAGCAATCTGAAGACAATGAAGAGATGTGTGAGAGAATGAACCTTTGTGTGGTTGTGCATTACAACACACTGACTATACAATAGTGAACTAATGCGGCCTGTTTTACAGCAATAATTTCTGGATATATGCGAGATATAATACGGATAGTTTATCGTATTTTGTATCACGAGACAAAATTCGTGGCAACTGATTTTAGATTAATGGGGATCATTGTTTTATTTAAATTATACTTATAATAGCCAACAGTTACTATTATATCCAGACAGAAAACCTATTACAATGCCAGTATTGAGCTAAACGTATGACAATAAGCCTTCGTTCTGCACCGATATGCTCGTCTGTAACGGTAATTAGACCTATACTATAGCACCATTGTCAGAGTTTCGTAGGAGAAAACTGAGTATCAACATGTCTTTGTTTTAGAAACAGTAACGAGTAAATACGCTGCTCATTATAAAACTTCATACATAACAACAAAATGAAACATTATAATAACAACAAAAATAACAATAACAACCAAAGATTTTTTTAATGTTTCCATTTTTTATTCCACGGGTTACCGAAACTTAAATCAGCGAATATTTTCAACATAATACACATTCCAAGTTACGACACTTTAGTGCTGGATATTCCAGAAAACAGACGTCTTACAATTAAATCTAGATTAATGTATACAATGGTACATGCATGGTGTATATGCAACTAATGATTTCCTGTCTAGATTATAAAGACGAAATTTGTACGTGATATTTTTACGTGGTGTAGGATACTCACGTGAAAGATATTATTTCGACAGATTTAACATGTAAATTCCCCTAAAAGCCTAAATATCCGCAGCCTCTTCCGATCAGTAGCGCATTTAAATGAGACCATAATTAAAAGAGAGACCATAATTAAAAGATAGACCAAGTATTTCAAGCAATTCATCTCAAAGATATGACAAAGAACGAATGCGGTGCAAGCAGACTAAGTGCAACTCACGAGAAAAGATAATTAATCACCTGTTGAGCATGATGAATGTCGAAACTTGTACTTTACAAATATGTGTGTTGTTGGAGCGGATATGTAAAGATGCCGGTCACGGTTGTAGATAAAAACTATTCGTTTAGCTAATCAAGGGGTAAACCCTTGTTTTAGGGTGCCGCACTGTATTAATATTTGCAGAAAACGTTGTTACTTATCCAGGTTTAACTAGATTTGTGAGGAATTGTTCTTGTGAGGCATAGCAGGCAGGCGTTAGTTGAGCAAATAAAAGAAATAGTCAACCAAAAGTCAAGGTTCTGAGGATAGTACAACTTAATCACCAATGTCTAGTGATATTCTGCGATACCCATTGTAATACCACGCCACGGGTAGATCGGGAACAGTTTCTTTAACACAACTAATAATGGACAATACGAGACGAGCCTTGTCTCGTCCGCCCTTATGAGCACCAGTTGTTATATCCACAAAGCCATACCTGATCTATACCATATACACTACTGCTATACAGTAGAATTGTAGGAGTCATAAGATTTTATCCAATTTCACGAAAGTTAAAACACATTCAAGTGCAACGTGCAGTTTTTCATCTAGAAGTGACACAAACTCTTAATATTATGGGACTAGGGTGTGCACTGGTTAGGTATTTGAGACGCTTGACATTTTATTTGAGAGGCTATAGATACTGAAGAACCAGATCATGTTAACATCTCCATTTAAATGAGTTTTTTCTATGACTTATTGTAATACTGAGTATAACAAACGGATCTTAATTATTAAGACTAAGAAAGGAACACAAATAGGATTTATAGCACTAAATCCCAAACTACAAACGCAAGTTATGACTTAGCTTTAAGTATCATTTCACACAATAAACATATATTGACGGAACAGAGATATAGAATTGTGCGGAGTCTTGCAGGCCACAGTTATTAAACATCCTCAATATCTGTTACTGAACAGACGTGGGACCAGAGGGAATACGTATAATTAGCTAGACTTCACTTGCAAGTGATCAGTATTCATGGAATTATTCATTTCGTGTACATTTTTTTTAATCAAGACACTTATTTTACTTCGGAGTATTCCAACAGCCACATTTTCACACAAGTGCAACCAGCCAATTACAGGAAGCCAAAGGATTTGCTTTTGGCCAGTGACGGTTAAGGTAGTGTGTACCATACTTTCTTCGCCCGAGACTTTGCTGCAATGTGCAGCTCCTCATTTAACCCTCACACTCGATTTCTCGAGTATTCGGCTGAGTAGACCGAAGGGCTGCATAGACCATTTAGGATCCTTAGCTGAACGTCAACGACGCTCACCCCACGACCAGACAGACAGTGGGATTCGAACTCGCAACCTCACGATTGCAAAGCTGGCGTTCTAACCAACTGCGCTACCTGGCCGTAAATGTATTCATTATGCTGAATTCATCTGTTCATGTCAACGAAATGTTGCCCATAATTACAGGCGATAGCGTGACTGCTTGAGATATATGCTCTTTTACCCCGCTTTCATTATCAAAATTGATTTCGTTAATTAACAAATCTAAATCTGAATGTAAACAATAAAACGAATACCTCAAACTAAAACCTCAAGCTAAACGGGCAAATTGTCAATTGTGAGGCAGATTTCAAGCATAAGACGCGTAATATGCGAGGTTTGTCTGGTGAGACTGCTCTAGTGCCGACCTTACCCGACTTGTACTTGTAAGGTGTTCCATTAGGTGGCCTTTATGCATTATGGCAGTCCAACTTTTCCTACCTTTTCCACGAGTCTGGTATCATAAGGCCATATTTTGCCACTTTTTGCCACTTTCGTTGTATAAGTCGAATGTGTTCCAGCACGTTTAGCACGCTCGCTCTCTCACCGCACCTAGCTAGTGTTATAATCAAATACAGTAAAATCCCGATTTACCGCGCCCCGATTTACCGCAAACCCCGATTTACCGCAAACCCCGATTTACCGCGGCCATTTCCTTCCCCAAACTCCGCGGTATATCGGGGTTTCACTGTAGTAAGATCGCCCCTTAATACTTTAATAGATGTATCAAGTACAATTATTGTTACAATTACAACCAGAGGGCTAGAATAATTATGTATACAATCTCAACCATCTTTATGCTTTAGAATAAGTCAACCATGGAGCATCATAGAGAGAGGTCAGTCTATTTTTACACTAGTCCTAGTTAGCCTGTTTAATGTTTATTTACCCAGGCACAAGTTGTACCTCATTGCATCGTATTTTACTCATTAGTATGGACACACAAATTTGCCCAAAACATCGATTTACCGAAATAACGACCTTTCAGAAGATTTTTGACGTTTTTGAGTTCCATTATGTGACCTTTACCGCAGCAATGTCCAGCAACGTCCACATTTTGCCACTTTCGTTGTGTAAGTCAAATATCTTTAGTTACGAACACCGTTGAAGGTTACGGATTAATCAAGAGTGTTTATCTTATCAAGTGATGGTCAAATATGGAGAAAAAACAGGAAGGATTCAATGATAACCAAGAGGGCTCGAGAAAATCTAAAAGTCTAAAGATAAGAGAGGGTACATAGCCGGACAAAAAAGAAATAGGTTTAACAACAACAAAAAAAAGTTTGACAAAAAAGAAATAAGTTTAACATGTTCTCTAAAAGGCTCTGACAGACAATTGAAAACCCTAGCCCTGACCCCAACCCTAACTCAATCCTTAACTCAGGCATCTGCTTAAACCCTAACCATGACGAAAAATGTCACCTACCTTAAGAACGACAAATTTAGTCTACCATAAATTTAGTCAAAATTTTGCCTAACATTTTTGTAAACCAAATTTATTGAGACTAAATTTTTCGGAGACTAATTTAAAAGCAGACCAAAATTTCAGTATAGCTTATATGACAGGTATTATTGAGCTTACATTTTTTATAATTAATATAATGACATCACCGTTCCTACTGCTGAACTACTTTGACTATTACACGTGTAATCCACTGCTTTTATGCTTTCACACTCTCTTATTTCCTTTTTTAAGCATTTTATTTTATAAATTATTTGTAAGTACAAAGTATGACTTTATGTGCGAAACCAAAAAAAATTAGCTAGAAATAATGGAAAAATCGAATAAATGGAACGGGAAATAGTCTCGAAAGGTCGAAAAAGTGACTAAAATTGTTGTAGACTAAAAATTTGCAAAATTTGTGACTAAATGTGGATCCGGATCATGTAAGACCCAATTTAGCTCAAGTGAACCATAACAGACCCCTATTAAGGGGGCCGGGGGGGGGGGGGGTCTTCATCAAAATTCTCTCGAAATCGACTTTATAGTTGTTTCTGATAGAGGGGAGTAATATCTATCAGCTGCTTTTAGTCCCATGGAAAAATATTGTTCCTAGCCGAAATTATCGCCGGTCTAAGGTCAGCGCTTATGTGTAATTGTATTGCGCGAGCGATTTTCAATCGCAAATTCTGAAAATCGAGTCTAAAAATCTATCTTCTCCCACATTTTTTGAGCAATCACCCTGAAACTTTCAGGATATGTTCTAGGGACCATTTAGAAGAGATAGATCATACAAAATTTTGAGATAGGCCTTTAAACATTTTTTATTCAATTTTGAAAATCTTGGACCTCAAAAAATCGTAAAAAAACGAGGTCCAAGATTTTCAAAATTGAATAAAAACAAGAAATGCGGCCGCTTTTCTTTTGTGGATGGCCGCTCAATTTCCCGTTCCGTGATGGCGTATTTATCATATTCCATACAACCTGGGGACGGCCCAGTCTTAACTGTTTATATAAACATGCAAATATGGCGAAGTGACATGCCGACTGCCGAGCGCCGCCCAGTTAATATAATTCTATATTGAATTTGAAAATCGTGTATATTTCTATGTAACCATATGTTTATTGTTTATGCAACCTGACACGGATCTGTGCAAAATAGTAATACTAACTCAAAATAATAATAATATGCTATCAATTAGTGCCTAGTGGGATACGTACATGATGAAATTAATAATGTACTTGGTTGGTTCAGCGCCGCGCGCCAACAATTATATAATTCAGATTATCACGCAAAATAACTTTGCGCAGGTAGTCACGTGGGCGATAACAGTGCTCGCAGGCACGTACGCACGCACGCACGCACGCTCGCAGGCACGGTCGCAAAGCTACCATATATAAAAAAAAACCTCGATCGCTAACCCTTGTCCTTGACTCTTTTGTGCCTTCGGCACGAGTCATGGATCGGGAAAAAATTTTAAAGGCCTATCTCAAAATTTTGTATGATCAGTCTCTTCTAAATGGTCCCTAGAACATATCCTGAAAGTTTCAGGGTGATTGCTCAAAAAATGTGGGAGAAGATAGATTTTTAGACTCGATTTTCAGAATTTGCGATTGAAAATCGCTCGCGCAATACAATTACACATAAGCGCTGACCTTAGACCGGCGATAATTTCGGCTAGGAACAATATTTTTCCATGGGACCAAAAGCAGCTGATAGATATTACTCCCCTCTATTAGAAACAACTATAAAGTCGATTTCGAGATAATTTTGATGAAGACCCCCCCTCCCCCGGCCCTCTTAAGCTGTCTTTGATGAGGGTCATGATTAACGAATAACAAATTACAGTCTCGCTGCTTTAATGTGTGAGGTGCAGACTGGACGAACTAATCATACTGTTAACATGTTAATAATTTTGAAAGTGGGTGGTAAGTACTACATGGTTTAGACGCTCTATTGTTCATGTTTAAAACCAACTTCAATGTGTTTTGTCGTTTATCATTATATAAATTATCTCAGACGATCCATGTTGGCCGACATCTTTTTCACTAAACCACATCTTCATTACAGCTGGTGCCCAATTAAATATTATAGTTGTTAAAGTATTCAGTAATTTCTAGTTTGATTGCTATACATGTATGCGAAAGGTACCGGCTAATTAATATTAGTTTCAAACAGTTGAGACATTTTTGGTAGTTTCTTCTTTTTCGGTTCATGTAATTGAAGCACTACACATATCTATTAGATGTGTGTACTATAATGTGGATAATTATCATCTACAATCTCTCCATTCTAGCAGAAACCCACGAAGGAAATATGTTTAAAATAGTCTCTCTACTAAGCCTTATCCTGCTGGCAACCACTTTGCCTGTAAAGAAACGAGAAGTTGGGGAATGTGACTATGAAGGTATGTTTTACCTCCCGGGGGACATTTGGTGTGATCCTCTACGTTGTGGCTTCTGTCGGTGTGATGACAATGATGTTTCGTGCGACAACACGGTGAGTTTACACTTGTTGTTTATTCATTTTGTTTTTAATATCTGATATTGAATGTGTATTCATATATATTGGTAACATCATTTTATTCTACTCCAAAATAAGATAAATATTTAACCAAAGTTCGGTGATCGATCCTCGAAGTCTGGCTTGAATCGCGATCGTTTTACTATCTGTTTGAATTGAAATGCAAATATTACTAAAGATAATTTTATAAAAATTTCTCTCTTTCAGTCATGTGACCTGCTAACAGGAGAAGAATTTTGCACGGATAGAAAAAGTCAAATCTCTACAATTCTATGAACACGTCCAATACTTTGATAACAAAAACTGTTTAAAGATTTTTGTAATTCTAGATTCTAAAAGCAGTATTTTCAAAAAGTATTTCATGAATTTTGATGAAGACAGCGTATTTTTCAGTGTTTCATTCGTCTTTTATTTTAATGAGGAACCCTGACTTGAGTATAATCTCGTAAATAACAAGAAATATCAAACTTTCAGACACTATGTCATAAATTGGTAGCTCTAAATATTCAATGAGAGTTTGATTAAACTGCCAAACCAAGTAACTAACTAAGTATTCGTTATTAATACTACGTAGCTATGGTGATAAAGTATATGTTTCTAGTGGTATTTATTAAATGGCACTAATTGCTGAGACTGTCTGGTCACTGCTAACACTAGTTTACAAGTGCAGGGTTGGGGGAAGAGGGTGCAGGTGGGGGAATTTACCAGATACAGGTATATATTATATATATATACTATGTATATGTATATCAACTAAATGGGTGAGATACTAATCCCATCAAAGTTTTGGCTTGTGGCGGGTAGCTTGTATACTGTATTTCTAAGTATGTATGTACATTGTACATGCAGTTTACAAAACAACTATTCGTGTAATCAACACATGCAATATAACGCATACATGCTAGTAAAGACCTGATAATTTCTAGATTTAGTGAATAGCTTAATGAAATGTATATACACTACACTTAACAATGTATATACACTACACTTAACAATGTATATACACTACACTTAACAGTTAGCAATGGCCGGGATTCACCAACGGAGTGATCAGGTAGTACTCCAGTAGCAGAGTGTAGTTTAGTGTAGGTTAGTGCAGTTGAGTGTAGTTGAGTGTAGTTGAGTGTAACAGAGTGTAGTTGAGTGTAGCAGAGAGCAGTTGAGTGAAACAGAGTGTAGTTGAGTGTAGCAGAGTGTAGTTGAGTGTAGCAGAGTGTAGCAGAGTGCAGTTGAGTGTAGCAGAGTGTAGTTGAGTGTAGCAGAGTGCAGTTGAGTGAAACAGAGTGTAGTTGAGTGTAGCAGAGTGTAGTTGAGTGTAGCAGAGTGTAGTTGAGTGTAGCAGAGTGTAGTTGAGTGTAGCAGAGTGTAGTTGAGTGTAGCAGAGTGTAGTTGAGTGTAGCAGAGTGTAGTTGAGTGTAGCAGAGTGTAGTTGAGTGTAGCAGAGTGTAGTTGAGTGTAGCAGAGTGTAGTTGAGTGTAACAGAGTGTAGCAGAGTGCAGTTGAGTGTAGCAGAGTGCAGTTGAGTGAAACAGAGTGTAGTTGAGTGTAGCAGAGTGTAGTTGAGTGTAGCAGAGTGTAGTTGAGTGTAGCAGAGTGTAGTTGAGTGTAGTTGAGTGTAGTTGAGTGTAGCAGAGTGTAGTTGAGTGTAGCAGAGTGTAGTTGAGTGTAGCAGAGTGTAGTTGAGTGTAGCAGAGTGTAGTTGAGTGTAGTTGAGTGTAGCAGAGTGTAGTTGAGTGTAGCAGAGTGTAGTTGAGTGTGCACTTCAATGTCCACAATTTTTGACCACACAAGATCTTTCATTAGGTCATCCCAAAGAAGAAAATAATAAAGTCACGTATAAGAAGTTTCATTAGTTGATTCATATAGCAGTGTTGTATGATTTTCAAGGAGGTGCTATCCACACAATGGTGTCAAACTCTATATAATATACCTCAAATTAAACTACTTGCGAAGAAAAAATTGTTTTCTCAAGCAGAACTTAATTAATACAGATAAAATAGAAGTTATAGGTTATTTATTACCCTATTAGTATTAGGTACCATCATAGATGCAAGATATTTAGAAGTTTAATAGTCAGGTGATTATCTATCAGACGCATTTATCTAAGTATGGAGTGCTTTAAAATTTAACATATTTACCAGATACCAGATGAACGTTTCAACAAATAATGCAGTTGTTTTTTTTTTTCATTACAAACTGAATTAAATTTTTCACCGCGGTTACCTGTAAAGAAAATGCATCAAACTTCAGAGCAAAATGAGACAAAGAAGTCTAGTTGGAGCTGGTGGACTTATGAGAGTGGACATTCTGTTATTACAACTATGTTTAGTGTTTGGATCACACTACAATGTAGACCCGTACAGAAGGGGTATCCTAAGAACATTCCTGATCTTTTGGCAGTATGAGCATAAAATTGATATGAACAATGAAAATGCAAATCATACTAAATCACTACCAAGTAGTTATGTAATTACCACACGTGGAGAAGACTGCCTGGATTACAAAGTTATAACAATATCACACACTGATGACGGACAAAGGAGATGTGACCACCACGAGCAGGCTGAATCACTTGGTAAGATCTCGTATTTGCAAGCAGCCATTAACAGAGAGGACATGTTTTTATGATTTTAACACTGCTATGTAACAAATGATTTGAGGAAATGAATATTTTGTGCATTGAAACGTGAGGCTTCGTTCAATTAAATATCAGAGCTCTTCTTACGAAGAAAATTTTCTGAATTATCGTCTTCAAGAACGTAATTTTTAACAACAGCAAGCGCAAACAGGTTCTGAGTATAAAATGTTACGGCGAATGTTGGAAAAAAATAAATATTTCCAATTCTAATCAAGTGATTCTCATCATATCATAGACATCCTCTAAATGGTGTTGTTTTGATGATGCATTCCTTAGTGTTGACGTGTTTGAGTGATATTATATGTATATTCATATGGTGCCGTTTTGAACGATAATATCAATTTACTGGGACTAATACAAATTAGATGAACTTAACAATAGTTAATAACCTTTATGATCAAGATTTATTAACGTGGTATTTATATATCTAACACAATTCTACCAGAACAATATTATGCATAAATACTGCAGTGGTAAAGAAAATAAATATCATATTATACAGATTAAGAATCGAAGAAGCTCTATTGTTCGATTCTACCGCAGCAAAATTCTGATAGTATTAATAAAAGTTGGCCAACTCTAGCACAGACCACAGAGTAAAGTGCTAATAGGCATGTTTAGTAGCGACTCCCTTGCAAACAAATATCTACCAGACATGGCAACACACAGATTCCGATAAACAAAGTATGAAATCGATAGAGCGTCACAAACTTAGCTATAATTGTGGGTTTATGTTTCAGGACGCCCGTCCTATGTTAACAAAACATTCTCTAAATTAACAGCTATAATGTTACCATCATCATTTTGAAATCAACAGCTAGAAAACCAAAGATGTTAAAAGAATTCACGTAAAGTTCATGTAAAATAGTCAGCAGTACAGGACAACCAAGACGACAAAACGTGCGCACAAAGTTGATGTTATAGAATAATCAATGCGAGCACCAGTGTACTGTGTACCACATGCAAAACTGTGCTGTTACCTCCCCAGTCCACTCATTAATAATGATAATAACCTAGTGTAGTTCAGACCAACCCACATCAGAGACAAATATTTAACCGGGAGGTGAGGTGTTTAACTGTTTATCAGTTTAATTGTGGAGGAGTAAGATCGTGCCGAAATGTGGAACCTCATGGATAATGTATATATTGTATAGTTGTAAAGTTTATTGTTTTTAGTCTTTGTTGGTACCTCTCGCTGTAACTTTTGATGGGTACAGTGTTATAATTATTATGGTACAGGTTGAGGAAGAATGTGAATAAAAAACAGCAATGACTTGCGAAATATTACAATGTTAATGGACATTGAAGCCAGAAAATTTTGAAAGTTAACGACGGAAATTCGCACAATCGCTGTGAACTACCAAGGGTTATACAAGGCAGACTCGTTCAAAAATATCTCGACAACGTTAGCACAGTAATCAAGATCCGAGAAACATCTAATTACCAAGTTTGTATAATGTCATCTTCTGATATTACTCAATCTATTTTACTATTCATAAGTATTTAGGCGCAAAATACAACATTAAATTAAAACGTTTACTCTCAAACAAAGAATTGTATTTGCAATCAGTCATAATATCCCAACACTAACAACAGCACAAACTAAAAACAAAACTGGATGTAAGAAATCCTGCTTGCTGCATTAGCCCGCATATCTTATGAAGCCAACTAATCCTAGTTCTCTAGTTCTACTTAAACCACGATGACTTGGTCAAAGTGATTGTTAAATAACCATAAAATGGCCATTAAAATGAGAGTTTGGGAGCGAAAATGACAAGAAAATACACCAGTAAAGATGAGAGCATGAGAAGATGATTCAAAAGCATCGCGGGAATACGCGGAAATGTGTTTTGGTGATTAGAATCGCGTGAGTGTTCAAGTATTTAAAGGAGATACCTGCACCACTGCACTGCTGACTACGCCACTGGGAGTCTTCTCACCCTTATCTAAAGAGAAAACTCGCACCCTCATAAAGTATTAATACTCCATAAAACTGGCAAGATAACATGTTTAGTGTTTACAAGTTGTGTGTAAAGCGTACAAGCAAGCAGGTTGAAACAGCTACAGAAATAAAAGAGAAAGAGAGTGCTCAGTTTAATAAATAAATCTGTTTCTAGCACGTTGAGTGTTATTCTCAGCTGATCTGTTACGTGTATACTTTGTAGCACACTGTGCAGTAACACACTGTAACACACTGTAACATACTGTAACACACTGTAACAAACTGTAACACACTGTAACAAACTGTAACACACTGTAACAAACTGTAACATACTGTAACACACTGTAACACACTGTAACAAACTGTAACATACTGTAACACACTGTAACACACTGTAACACACTGTAACACACTGTAACACACTGTTACACACTGTAAGTGTAACGTGCTCTATGTGGTGGGAGATGTTCAAACTAAATGTGCACGACCACACTATTATACGACCCAGCACCCTCAGGGGCGCCCAACTTAGGTTATAACGTGATGAACTTTAAGTGCAGACTGTTTGGAAAAGGTGGGGATGATTGGTGTGGTACTATAAGGTTCAGGGAACAGCAGCAGCTATCTGAGTACTACTCGTATGAGTACCTTCTCCAAAATAATATGGCCGCAGTTATCTATCATGTAACGTTTATCAAAATGTACAAACTTCGAAACGAGGCCCAGCAGTGTTGCAGGACAACATGATGTCAAAATAGTATGTGCAGTAAACCTATGTTACAAAGTAAACGAGTCAAAGGCAAAAATAAACCTTTTAACTGCCAGAAACGGCAAAAATAAACCTTTTAACTGCTAGAAACATGTAACTTTTTTAAAGATATTTTACCATTGACTATGATATTATGAAACTCTAATGGTCTCCAATGTGCTAAAACTTACAATATTGCATCAGACCCTGTAGTTGTATCAGTATTCAGTAAATAAACGATTAACGCTGGCAGTACTTAATATGCTTTAAACTTCTTAGTCCTTGTATTGGGCCCCCTTGTATTCCTATTCTTAACGCCCTTATTTGGTGCTGTTGAATCCTGATTGATTAGGACGACACTACTTCTTGATCAGTTTTGACCATAGATTTAAAGATTTAATTTATTATTCAAGTTTAATAAAGAAATTTATTCGAACGCATTTTAAAACCAATTATCGTTTAATATTTCCTCTCCCTGACATTCATTTAAAAAGTTATAAGTTATTATAAAACAATACTTGGTTGGTTTTACTAATTCAGTTGAAATTGGCCCTTTATGTTGTTGAAAGTGACACCCATTACCCGGTTTTCATATCTTTTTCTTATCTATCATAATCAACTCAAGGGCCACTCTAAAATGACGACAAAACATAACCGCGTAAATCATAAGTACTGCATTGAAAATATAAATACCATATCAAGACAACCACTTCAAATATCACTTTAAACATTTAAAATTTCACGAAATAAAGACCAATCTCCATTAGCAAGTGGATATAATACAACAAAGCGACGCGTAGTACCCCATCAGCTTTTTGTCAGAGTATAAGAAGTTGTTATCACTGAAAGGAACACACCATGCCGTGCATTGTATTAGCAGCATGACGAGGCCTTTAATAGCCAATTATACCGGATAATGACACAGCGTGCCAACATGTTTACTGGCTGTTCCAACCGAGACGACCAAAACACTAAATAAACCTACACTATGCTATGCAGGTTTTCTTACTCCTGAAGGTGGGATATTTAATAGGAATATTAATATTATGCTACGAGATGACTTTATAACCGCGGAATGTCATGTTAGGGAATTAAATGGTTTTAGTATGAGGGACAATTTTTTGGTAATAGGCCAGAAATTACGAGGTGAATAACGTATGATATTGACAAATTTTTCCATCGATTTTTATAACAATTGCAACGATACCGGAGCCGATCGGTAAGATCATATTCTAAGCTTGTTCGTTCGATTGGAACAAATCTAATTTACTATGATTTTTTTCTTCAGAAAGTTTGAATTGAATTTTGAATAGGTATCATTGATAGAGACCCCTGAGCCATGTTGCGTTTCATCCCATTTGACCAAAGCAAAAGTTGAGGAATGAATGGATATGGGTTCATCAAAATTTGTTCATGGATATAATATACTGATATCTGGATATTATCCGGTTGGAAGAGACAAGGACAAGTGAAACAAGGAAGTTAGGAGTAAGGGCAAATTTTCGGCGTCAACGCCATCTTCAGGCTCAAATTATTTGTTATATAGTAGTGTTGAAAGTATTAAAACTTTTAATACTCTACTATATAATATCCAGATATCAGTATTTCAATCATGAGACTAATAAACAGCGAACTACTCCGTTATTTGAGATATAATATACTGGATATAAAATTCATGGATATAATATATAATACTAGATATTTAAATTAAAGATAAACTAAAGACATCGATAAAATCTCAGAGGTTCTTGTTTAGATTCTTGTGCTCTTCTTGTAGTGTATGTGCTCTTTCCTCCATCACAACATTCTCTTTCTCTAAGCTTTCTAAGGTTGTTTCGGAATGCTCTAACTTCAAATGGAGCTTTGCAATCCTTTCCGCTTTTTCAGACGAAATCTTGGCAAGACCGGAGATTTGAGTTTCGCGTTGCTTAATTCCTGACTTCCTCAATATTTTTTCCCGTTCCTCTTTTTGTTTCTGAAGCCAGGCATTGTTGCGATTTCTGACTCCTTTTTCCAGCTCTTGTCGTTTCTTCCTTATGTTTCTCTCAGCAATACTGTGTTTGATGAAATAAGCCGCAAATTTTTTTTTCAATTTGTCCACTTCCACGTCTTTTTCTTCTTGTCTTCGCAACTTATCTTCCTCAATATCCGTCAGTCTGTTGAAGATCGAATTCTTCTTACGGTCAAAAGTGGTGATCATTTTGTTAAGACGGGCTTCCCAACGTCCTAATTCCATCTGGGAACAGTTACAGTGGTTAAAGTAAGAGACTAGTAATATTAGGTTTAAATGATATGACGCAGTTTGCCAACTTCACAATTTAACGTTTGGAACATGTTCCCCTCAAGGGATCGGAACGGACACAAAAACTAAACAGTCGCTACAAAAGACTGATAAGCGCCCACTGTCCATTTATCGATTCAGATTTGCTGAACTACTTATTTGATTTTTGAGCGTCGAAAGCAGACGCCTGAGGAAGACAATTTCTAAAATCTTTTATAATCCTTGGTTTACAAGATGTTCAATCGAGCTGTTTGTACGAATTTTGATCAAGAACCACCCAAATCCTTGACACACGCTGCAACCCCTTTTGATCGCGCGTGATCAACCCCTTTTGATCACGCCGGCCGGCGTGCACGCTTCGCGTACACGAGAGGTGTGCAACGTGTAGCAACCAAATCCGCATTGAGACGTTAAGAAGAACTGTTGTTAAGTTTTAAATTAATCTTACATTGTTATGGCCATGGAATGAGGAGGTTAGTTATACCGGCTCTAAAATGTTCGTTTTGTTGTGAAAGAAATCATTTTGGGCCACCCTATATTTCTGCAATTTTGGACCTAAATTACACCAAAAATCATTACCTGTTTCTTATTGTCAGTCAACTTTTTCTCCTTGTGTATCCGTTGCTCGATGACGTTGGACTTCTTCTCCAACGCAAGAAGCTGTCTCCGAGCAAGAACCACCTTCATCCGGCTGTGGTGCAGAGACTCCAGCAGCTCCTTCTCTCGAAAGGTCAGTTGTTTGGGAGTGTTGCACCGGATGACTGGCAAAGAATCTTGTGGGGTCTCTTCCGCATTCATTATTTCTCCTGCATTTTGAGAATTAAACAATTATGGAAAATAACCCGCTAATTTAATTTCCAGTGAATGTTACTAACACCATTTGTATTAATATTATAGAGAGCGGTACGACATTCATTTAAGTTTGACTAAGGTTGGGGAGCTGAAATTGAAAATCAGTAACATTGATCGCCTGTACACTCGTAGTCAAGTGTGTTAAAGGCAAAGCAGCATAACTAGGATAAGTTACAAACCACCAAGTGGGATCACAGACCCTTTTCTTCTGCCACTGTAAATCTCGTCAACAAGAGCTGGTTTCACATTAAACTTTTCCTCCAAAAACTGCTTCACAGATTCCTCAGAAAATCTGTCCATCAATTGTCTCTTCTTAGGTTCACTGTTGTTCAAAGCAATATGTAAGTGTAAATGTAATGTTATTTAAACTTTGTTCAGGTGGTATGTCATTGACCACAAGTACTATCATAGATCATATGAGTTGCACTAAGTGCCCTATGAATAGATATGCAGATTGCATATGATTAGAAATGTGCAACGGAAGAACTGTATTTTTAAAGGCAAGACCTGCAACCAAATATAATTTGATATTTATTAGCATTAGCAAGTTTTTTTAATTTTACGTGCTCACCAACCTCGGTGGAGGGCTGGCGAGAATGGGGTTAGTCCCGTAAGGTAATTTCTTTATCCGTATATACTCTTTGAATGCTTTGTAAGGCTCTCGGATAAAAAACTCCTCAGTAATAATTCCTGAAAGATAAGTGGAATCTGTCAATACAAGCCATCTAACGCTTCATACAGATTTAGCATGGTTCAACTTCTATAACTTATAGTTATTTCCCGCTAGCCAACGCCGAATTTTGTGTACAGAATTGATTATGATAAAACCGTTGAGCGCGAAAAACCTTGCTCAATAAGCTTCTTCCTGATTCCAGGTTCTGCGAAGAAGTTTCTGAGATGCTTATCGTAGTAGCAGCTATATTTGGTAGCTGGTGCGTTGGGATTCTTGAGGTCGAATGGGTGACGCTGGTTGGTGTTTTGTTTGTTGATCACCCCCAACTGTTGAGTTCTGAACACTCTTCCTCCAGGGTGGGAGGCTCGTAATACCTACATTATAATAGGTTACACATTACAACTTCAGTTTTGCATTGCCAAAAAGTTATTAATATTAACCAGAAAATGTAGCAAACAGCTCGAACTGCAGTACTGTTTATAATTATAACCTAAAATGAGTCTGATCAAGCTAACTGTCACCAAGATGCAGTTAGGCCTAACGCCTAATTTAGGCCTAAATCTGCGTTAGGCATAACTGGTTAGGCCTAACTGCATCTTGGTAACAGTAACGGAAATTTTAAATCCGAAGTAAATATTTTTCGGAGAATTATCAACCAACCGGGAATTTTACATCCTCTGAAGCATCTTCAATCGCCAATAATCGTTTCATGAATACATGTTCCAAGGAAAGTCTAACTGTCTCGCTTCGATTTTCTCCTTTCTTGTGTGGTTTAACAATACCCTGGCCAGAGATCTCCTTAAAAAATTTGTTGAGATTGAAGTAATCTAAATTATAACTTTTATTATTAGTCAACAACTTCTCTCTGTAAGTGTAATTTAAATACTGATAGTTACGAAACCCCAGTATCATTGATGAAGTCTATGTCACATTACCCGTGCTGTTTTTTTCTTTACTGGTCTGGACTTAAATTGATTATCGTCAGGGACGTTGCTAGCTGACAACACTAGTACGTGCTTTAGTAAACGAGGTCGTTCAGACAATCTCTGACAATACATCTCTAGCTTCGATCGGTGGCGGTCCTCGCAAGATGCAAGAACTGGTGACGCCATGTCTGCTTTTATAAAATCTCGGTGGGACGCTTTTGTCTAAGTTCTCTGTAGCTAAAAGTTGATTGGAGAAAATATCCTGTAGGCAACGAGTAATGAGAACCGCATCAAATCTCAATGAAGCTGGTCTTTCTCGAACAAAATGATACCGTGTTAACTTAAAATGCACGTGCATGAGCTAAAAAAGACTCCGTTTCTTAGCGACGACTATCCGGTGCGATCATTGACTGGCAACCTAAGTAAATCTTATCATGGAACCATTTGTTGATGTCACGCTGCTGCTATCTTAAACATAAAATAGGCTTAAATATCACATGTGCGATTGCATGCGGCAGGACTGTATCCACGTGAAAGGTGACAATTCGGGCATTAAACAGTACGTGCGCGCCCGCCGTTGAGGTTTACTCTGTTCTTAGTATAACTTTGGACGTTGTCAGCTAGTAGCGCTAGATGCATTATCGTGTTTGACAGCTTGGTCTATTCCGACTTTTAGTTACGCAAGTTATGCAGGTTGAGATTAGTCATTAGAACTACTAAAATGGAAAGTCACGATAAAAACAAGATCTTCAATTTCAAAGAACACTACACATTTCGACCTCACAAAATGATTGAAGCATCATTGCAATTTGCAAGGATGCCATGCCTGGTATGCGACATTTTTCGCGGGTGTGAAACTTGTCATGCATGCTCAGTGTTACTGGAAGATGATCAATTCATGACTTAGCTTAGGGCATCTGCTACAAGCAACCAGCAATCTTCAAAAATCATTCGAAGCCAAATTCGTGTTCTCATTTTTACATAAGTTAACATGCTATATAATATCGGGATTCATATTTTGTTTGTTCCAACAGAAGTCAATAAAAATCTCAAGTTAGCCGGTTTGACATTAAACAAATCAATAAATTATTTTGCAAATAAAAACACTTCACCATGGCTCATGTAAGTTATTAAGATATGCTTAAAGCTCTTAATAACATATTATCGAAACTGCAGGCAATTGAGTGATCTTTGATACGGTTGATTTTTAAATGTAATTCAATTTAATAACTGGAACTGACCCACCATAATGTTCCCCATAGTAATTAAGTATTTTTATAAAATTATTTGTCCTGATCAAGTATACTGCTTCATACATTTTCCATGGCTTGCTAGTTTCGCAAAAATCATTATCATCATTAAATAGCTTAAATCCAAATGCCAAGTTGCAGTTACACTCAAGCACTCGTAACGTTCAAAATCTCAGAAATTAGATTAGTCTATTGAAGCTATTTACTAATAACATTCTTTCTCGATGGACGTTGGGTGCGTATCAAATTACATGTTCACAAAATGGAGGTAGAATGGTCCAAAAAGGAATAATACGCACGTTATAAAGAATACATTCGCAAAATAGCAAATTGAGTACTGCTACATAACGTAATATGAGCCGCTTTTCTTTTTTAAAGGCAATTAACCTGGGTGTATTATACAACTTGGCTTGACTGTCAAACTTTTGAATTATTTGTAAGGGCACTAAAACCTGAATCTATCAATATTTATCTGTAATCAAGGTATATTACTATTATACTGCACTGCACTCGGGTTACAATACTCAACCGTATTAAAGGCGGGCATATTAATACAATCTTTCAGTGTAGCAGCACAACGTTACATTTCAATTTAGAATTATGACCTGATCATTGTCTTATTAAACAATTTAAACATATTCTATCGTTTTCATATATTGATTCAAAGCAGTTCCCTCATGTAATCGGATGATCTACGATTTTTACGGTCGGTTAACAAGGCGGAAGTGATTTTATCCAACGTATCATATCTTTATCACACAAAAACAGTATAAGCTGCTCTTGCTCAAATTAATCAAAATGACATTATAATTCTTAACTCTTCTCTTTGTGTGATATAGAGTATCATGATGATCAGACAAGAAAGACCTACTTTAAAAGTTTAAATAACATTCACCCTGGATAAATGGGGAATAAGAATAAGGTCTACCTGTAGTTTTGATTATTGCAGGTTTCTTAATGGGCCGTGTTAATACCAAGTTACTTAAGTTAGGATAAAAATCTAACATACTCTAAATAAATGAGAATAAAAATCATCCCGCGACATTGTTATTCGTCGGAAGCCCCTACTTCCGCCCCAACTTCAGGACCCACTTCAGCACCCAATTCCGTTTTCTCCTCGATGCTATCTTGCCTCTCTTTTTTCTTCTCAATTGCCTCCATTCTTTGCTTCATGGCCGGATCATTAGCATTTCTTGGTTTCCCTGAGCCGAAAATGCTTGCCTTTTTCACACCCTCAGCAAGTTGATCAACACTTTCTACCTTCTTCGTGCGGGGAGCAAGTTTCAGTTTGGGTCTCCCTGCCATCTCCTCGGCGGTTGGTCTGATCACATCCTCGCTCTCTGAACTGCGAGATCGGCTGTTGAAGCGACCACCACGGCCGGACCGGTCATCGTGCTCGTTCTGAAACCTGTTGTTGTTGCCCCGCTCCTGGTAGGAGTTGCTACCAGTACCTCGCTCCTGGTAGGGATTGCCAGCACCTCGTGGTTGGTAGCTACCTCTTGCTGGTGATGGGCTGAACTCATTCCTGGAGTTCGGTTTACCACCCCGCCCACTTGTGAACCATCCATCAGGATCCTGGTTCCCCGGAGGACCCTGGTTCCCTTGGTTACCACCCCGGCCTCCACGGTCACCCTGGTCAAATGAACGCCCTCCTCTGTTGTCCTGTCTGCCTCCTCTGCTGCCTCCTCTGCTGTTAGCGTTGTTCCTCTTGGGCTCCCCGCCAATGTCCACCTTAAGGGGACGCTCCATAAACAATGCACCATGAAACGATAAAGCTTCCTTCAGCTCCTCCAACTCTTGAAACTCAACATAACAAAATCCCTTAAACTGATCAGTTTCCTTATCCCTGATCAACCTCACGTTCTTGATAGTCAGACCTCTGAAAATCATCTCCAAGTCCCCCTGAACACAACCGTCCGGCAGATTGCCCACGAAGGCGATGTAAGGAGGCTCGGTGGGCATCGGTTTCTGTTGACGCGGCTGGTAGGACCCGCCACCGAACCCTCCGCCACCTTGTCTGTTCCCGCTATTGTACTGCGGTGCAAACTTTTGGTGTGACATCCTGTTGTTAGTTTGAAACATAATTAGCAATACTGGGGTTTGATTATTTCTTAATTTTGAACAATGTTATCAATTCAATATCCACATTACTATTAATGATATTATGCTGGAATCATTAAAATTAGGTGCAAGCAAGCCATTCAACTTTTTTAACGACGAAATAAAACACAAACCATAATACTGAATGATATATCGAAATATTCTGTCATTTTTTACAAAGAAACGAGCTGGAAACTACAGCTTTTAAACTCGACTTTCAAACATAAAATGAAAACAAACCCAGAAAGTCGGTGAACATAAGTAAATATATCACAACATCAATGTACAGAAATGCCAAATGTGGAGCCACCTATCATCGATGGAGGAAACACTGATAAATTTATCAGTTTATCCACCTAAAATTACCAAAATTTACATAAGCTTGAGGAGCCAATATCATACAATTATGAAAACCAAACCCATTTACATGCAAAACTCTGATCTGATAAATCTGAAAAAGTTTGAATGAATTTTTTGACACATATGCAAATCAAAGCTGCAGACATCCTATGAATTAACTACAGAGGCTAGGAGAGAAATAACAGTTCTAATTTCCAGTTCCAATCAGTCGACAAAGATCAAGGGGCTACATGATTAAACATTATACATTGCCTGCATTACAATCAGAGAAGATACTCACTAGATCACGTGTCAAGGCAATTAACAGGTACAGTTATTACTTATTACTTAATATTAGTTAAATATCTATCATCAATTAATAAAACTTACAATCGTGCTAAAGTTTAACAATCGAATAATGGTGCAAAATTTTCTTTTGAAACAGCAGCAACCCTTTACAGTAACAGTATTTAATCTAATAGAAAACTTAGTTAACATACCAAAATTACAAAACACCCATGCTGTTCAGGCAACTAAATACTACAAGAGCTTTTTGTTCCAGCACATTTTTCTCTTGAGGAAGAAATCTCTTGAACGGTCTGTAGATTGCCGTGGAAATATATGTCCCAGGCATTAACTTGCCTAAAATAATTTAAGAGGCTAGGTGTTTTACTCTACATTAACAACTAAAAGTTGAGCAGAAATAACACCACGTAACAAATTGTACTGCCAATACATACATAACAATAAAATTCAACTTGAGAAAACAACACACAAAACAAACTGCAAAACATGACCTACTGACTTTCTCAGAGGAAACATTAAACAATACACAGTATATGGACACGTTCATTGAAGTTTGAGGATATTGGTAAATATTAGTGACCCTACTAAATGGCACGATGATGTAAAATGTGTCACACTATAAATCTATATAAACCCTCAATGGTTAGGATAATCGTTTCATCCTCTAGATAAACTTTGTCGCATAACGATATCTTTATCAGACGATAAGATATCGCTTAAATGCGGCCGGCAGTGAGTTGTAAACTTTGTCACACTATAAAAACGTGACAGAGTTTATATGGACCCCTTGTTGCCGTGTTTGACCAAATTTTCGAATTTCAAATTTATAGGATAGTTGCATATGACTATTATCTACATATTTAGCGACTTTTTTCGTTAAATGGTAGCACCATGTAAACTCTGTCACACATTTAAGAAATTTATATGAGGGATGTTTTTATTGTTTATGACATCCTGACAAGAAATGCCGAATAGTCTAGCATTATTTTGTGAGCTGAATGTGTTTGGAATTGTTCACATATTTCATTGTTATAGGCAAATACAAATACAGAAGGCAGAAATGGGTAAACTTTGTCACATACATTTGTATGATATCTCAACATGTGTGAAATTGAGTAAATATTAGTATACCAACTTAAACACCCTATATTACGTACTATTGATCAATTAACAATATTTCAACCACACACCGGTCATATAAATTATTATATGGCAGTGATATGTTAACATTGGCAAAATTTCAACATCTGAACATGGTAAAAATTTGTGAATTTCGTCACACAAAAATATATTAACTTTATTTGCTATTTGTTGGCAAAATAACTAGTTTATCGACATAGGTATGGTGATAAAGTAAAATTATATCCTATTCGAGGTATGATTCTTCAAAATAGGGGGCAAGAAATGTAAATTTCGTCACATCAGCCCTTGCATTAGTTAGATAGATTTTCTTTCATATCAACAGTCCTTATTATAGTTAGAATGGATTTACACAGGAAATATAGAAACCCATGCCAATTTTTCATCACATTGAAATTATACTGTTGGGGCAGGAAAAGTAAATTTCGTCACATTTCAGTAACTTAGTAAAATTAAACTCAGCATTGTTAAACTTGAGTTCTAATTTGCTGAACAATAACCAACCAATAATTCCTGGAAGAAAATTGAATTTTAACCGAGGTATGGTTCTTCAAAATAGGGGCAAGAAATGTAAATTTCGTCACATACGTCATTTTAAAATTTAGATCGATTTTCTTTCATATCAATAGTCCTTATTATAGTTAGAATGGATTTATACAGGAAATATAGAAACCCATGCCAATTTTTCATCACATTGAAATTATACTGTTGGGGCAGGAAAAGTAAATTTCGTCACATTTCAGTAACTTAGTAAAATTAAACTCAGCATTGTTAAACTTTAGTTCTATTTTGCTAAACAATAACCAACCAATAATTCCTGGAAGAACATTGAATTCTTACCGAGGTATGGTTCTTCAAAATAGGGTCAAGAAATGTAAATTTCGTCACATACGAGTGCGTCATTGTAAAATTTAGATACAATTTCTTTCACGTGAACAGTCCTAATTACAATCCGAAATGATTAATACAGAGATACAGGAAATATAAAAACCCCTGCCCATTTTATAATGTATGTAATATGTTAATCACAGACTATTTCATTCTATAACCATTGTTTCCAAATTTAACCTATTTATGATGTCTTATCATTTTGTGACGATGTTTACATCAACTGCCCTATACTTGAATCAACTGTATCCGTGTATCGTCCTTATATAAGTATATAGAGTTTTCCCGCAAAATTTAACTTATTTGCGATGTCGTATCATTTTGTGACGATGTTTACATCAACTGCCCTATACTTGAATCAACTGTATCCGTGTATCGTCCTTATATATAGAGTTTTCCCGCCTTCCAAACCAAAATCAGATATAAATGATTTCGGAAATTCACCCAGAATTTCAAATTCCATATAATGTGACAGAATTTACATCATTTCCCAATAACCAAGTGCATGTATTTGCTAACTTTTCAAAACAACATATTTTAGGGCTATGATTGGCAGAAGAACCATCAAATAATGAGTTGAAAGGGTTTTGAGGACACCTCACAGTAGAAAAGAGGTCTCGTATTCTGAGTGTGACAAAGTTTACGAAATATTGCCTTAAATCCGTTCGATCCGTGCCCTTTAACCAATGTTGTATCATAATTGTTAGATTGACCTAATCTACTATATTTCAGACCAAGCTTGGTCAAGGAATGATAATTGGGCAGATATGGTAAACAATGTCACAAAAATGTGACATTTTTTACATTATAGTGCCTAAAAGCAATATATTTTATTTCTGAGCAGTGCATATGGGAGTATGGGTCACGTGGCTAATGTTCAGAACTTATGAACACGCTAGATTAATAGATGCTAAAATTAAGCCACTATCGTCGAAAACGCTATATTAGAAATTTACCAATATCCTCAAACTTCAATGAACGTGTCCATATACTAACAACTACTTAAGGGGAGATACACCAAAACCGTTTTTGCTCCGAACATCGATTTTATTTTATATTATTTTTAAATAGACAAAAAGAATAAGATTGTACACCTTCAAAAATTTTTAAAAATATTCCCTCATCGAGAAAAAAAATATTTTTCTTTTTCGAAAATTTTTAAAATTTGGAGAAGTCTGTCTCTGTAATACCGATAGTTCGGCCATTTAAAAAGTTTTTTGGCTGATTTTTTTACTGAACATTACTTACACTCCGTACTAGAAGCCATTGAAAGGATTATATAATTGAACAATAAATGACAAAGTTACAGACCGAACAAGGTGAAAAAAGAAAAATTTGGATTTTTGCCTACCACCAAAGTTGTACATTTCACCACCCGCCCAGGTCATCAGATATCGCTTCAAAAATTCTCGTGAGTGTAGTTGATGATCATGGCAAGCTTTTTGGAACCGGATTTCTCTCAATTTTGAGTTTTAAGCTATGCAATGTGGCCTCAAACGACTTAGTAAAATTCATCGTAAAAAAGGGCAAAAAAGGCAGATTTAAGGCTTAAAATGCCTATAACTCAAAAAGTATCAGTTTTTTTGAAATAATTTTTACAGGATCGTAATCAGCTTGGTAAGACGAATCTTTTAGTACCAAATAGGTGCTTTTAGAAGACAAATTGTCTTAAATCATTTTCTAGCTCGAACACAAGGGTCCCCCCTTGTATAAATTTTGTACAAATTGTACACATTTTTTTACAAATTTTGTGGCTTTGAATATTATAAATGTCGTACTAAAAGATTCGTCTTACCAAGCTGATTACGATCCTGTAAAAATTATTTCAAAAAAACTGATACTTTTTGAGTTATAGGCATTTTAAGCCTTAAATCTGCCTTTTTTGCCCTTTTTTACGATGAATTTTACTAAGTCGTTTGAGGCCACATTGCATAGCTTAAAACTCAAAATTGAGAGAAATCCGGTTCCAAAAAGCTTGCCATGATCATCAACTACACTCACAAGAATTTTTGAAGCGATATCTGATGACCTGGGCGGGTGGTGAAATGTACAACTTTGGTGGTAGGCAAAAATCCCAATTTTTCTTTTTTCACCTTGTTCGGTCTGTAACTTGGTCATTTATTGTTCAATTATATAATCCTTTCAATGGCTTCTAGTACGGAGTGTAAGTAATGTTCAGTAAAAAAATCAGCCAAAAAACTTTTTAAATGGCCGAACTATCGGTATTACAGTGACAGACTTCTCCAAATTTTAAAAATTTTCGAAAAAGAAAA